GTTTTCGTCCACGGAGACTCACTGTGAACGGGCGTTTAGTTTTGTCCAACTCTGCCTGCATCTGTTGAGATGATCATGGAAGGTTTTCTTCCGTTTGGGAAAGCTAGTCACGGCCTTGTGACTTTGCAAACCCCGGAAGAGCTTTCCCTTCCCCGGGGCGACCCGGACGCAGCAGGGCGTGCGCGTGGGCCGCTCTGTGGGCCGCTGGTGCTTTGCTGGGGGTCGCCGCGTCTGTGCTCCCGGGGCGGTCAGCCAGTCAGCTTCTCGTCTCCGAGTGTCTGGGAGTGGCTTGGGTGTCCGGGTGGTGCCTCGTGGCGCGGGCTGGAAGATACTCTTCCCTCTTTAGGATTCCTTGGACGGGCTCGTGGGGTGTTGGTGCTCGTTCTCCCTTGAGTGTCTGGCAGCCGTCCCCGGTGAGGCTGCCCTGGCCCCAGGCCGCCTTGTCGGGAAGGCGGGGGCTCGTTGGCGGGGGTCTTGGCTGGCGAACAGCAGGCGTTCCTCTCTCGCTTCCAGGGGCCGGGGAGCCCCACAGCGGAAGCACCCCAGGCTTGGCGTCTTGGGGCAGGGGCCCTGGGCCTGGCTCCTGGGCCCCCTCTCCTCTGGCCTCAGTGGCCTCGGGGCCTGGCCGGGAGGGTTTGAACTCGGGGCTCAGCCTGGTTGGTAGAGGAGGTTGTCTTTTCCCTCACGAGGGAGCCTCGTCCCTCTGGCCTTGAGCCTGCGAATTCGCCGTCTGCGGAAGTCGAGGCGCCAGGCTGTGCGTCCGGGCCCCGACTTGGGGCTGCGCGTCAGGGCGACTCAGTGACACCGGGGGCTCCCCTCGTGGCGGATGTGTCTGCGCAGAGGTGCCCACGGCTCTCCTCCGTCTTCTTTCACTGCTGGGGTCTCGGGCCGCCTGCCGCCCCTCCCCTTCCGTGTTCCCGGTGTTGCCACTGGTCGGGGCTCGTCTCTCTTCCCCCTGACAGCTCGGCTGGAGGGTGAACATTTCCGAGTGTATCGATCTTTTGGTTGCGTTGATTTTCCATTTTATATTTCGTTAGTTTTTGCTCTTTATTATTTCTGTCTTTCTACTTTAGATTTGATTTGTTATTCTTTTGGTTTCTTAATGTAGAAGTTTACGTTACTGATTTGAGACCTTTCTTCTTTTCTGATACACATACTTAATTTCATAAAATTCTTTCTAAACATTACTTTAGTGGCACCCCAGAATTTTGATGCGTTGTCTTTCATTGTACTAAAAATATTTTATAATTTTCCTTACTGTGATTTATTCTTTGACCCACAGATGTAGGTGTATTTTTTAACTTCCAAATATTTTGGAGTATTTTCCAGGTATCTTTTTCCCCCTGCGGTGTGCGTGACATGTAGCAACATGCTGGTTTCAGGTGTGTGCGGTGACGACTGTGCCCTCTGTGGAATGACCGCCCCAGTGAGTCTAGCCAGCGTTGTCACCGCACGTGGCCACACGTTTTTTTGCGCGAGGAGAAGTTTTAAAATCTGTTCTCCTAGCAACTTTCAAGCATACAGCACAATATTTAGGTTTTTAAAATTTATTTATTTTAGAGGGAGGGAGAGAAACATTGATGGGTTGCCTCTTGCACAGCCCCAACAACCCAGGCACGTGCCCTGACCGGGAATCGAACCGGTGACCTCTCAGTTCTCAGGCGGCGCCGAGCCCACTGAGCCAGCCCAGCCAGGGCAGCGGTGGTAGCTGGAGTCTCCGCGCTGCACACGGTGTCCCCAGTTCTCATTCATTCATTCTGTAACTGGACGTTTGTGTCTCTTGACTCTCTTGTTTTGCTATTGATTATTGGCTCAGTTCTCTTACAGTCCAAGAGCTTGCTTATATTATTCGGTTTTTAGAAATTGTTGACGTTCCAGGGCCAGTCTTGGTTGAGGTTTCACGCGCACTGGAGAGCGCCCGTGTTCTGTTGTCGGGAAGCGGGTGCCGTGACCGGGAGTCCGAGCGGCCTGGTCGAGGGCGGCACCCCTGTTGTCTGCGTCATCCTCCTGCCTCTGTCGGGGTCGTGCGGCCCCTTTTGTCTGGAGCACCACTGTCTGTGAGCGGGACGTCCTAACCTTTTTCTTCTCCTTTTTAAAAGATTTTATTTAGTTAGTTTTAGAGAGGGGAAGAGAGGGAGAACGAGAGGGAGAGAAACATCCATGTGCGGTCGCCTCTCGCACGCCCCCTACTGGGGCCCTGGCCTGAAACCCAGGCATGTGCCCTGACTGGGAACCGAACCGGCAACCCCTTGGTTTGCAGGCTGGTGCTCAGTCCACTGAGCCACACCAGTCAGGGCTAATCTCTTAAGTCTGTTTTATATTTCCTTTTTAAAGAATTTCTTTAAAGACAATCCACTTGTGTTATTTTATTTAAGCCACTAACTTGGTGGTAATCTGTTACAGCAGTGGCAGGAGACTCTTACACTTTCACCGACCAGAGAGCCAGGCCTGTGAGGCCAGGCGGTGTCTTGGCGGCTGTGTCCCCAGCACCTGCCCTCACTCCTGGGGGGCTGCCTGCTGACTGAGCAGGCGGCTGCACGGATGACCGGGAGTCCCCCCTGCTGGGCTGAGAGGGTTGGCGCAGAAAGGACGCCTGGTCTTCTGGGACCATTTTCGTCTCCTGAAGTTCTGCTTGCCCGCGTTTTTACACCCCCTGTGCCTCCCTCCTCGTGTGTGTGCTCCCCCTGCTCTCCTGGGCGCGTGCGGCCTCACTCTCCCGGTCCGGGCCCTCGTCTGTCGGCAGCAGCGCGTCCCTTACTTCGGGGTCTGTTCCTGGTGATGGGTTTCTCCCCGGTGATGGGCCACGTTCTCCTGCGTCTGGGCTTTGGTCCCGAATGGTGGACATGGTGCACTTTACACCGTCGAGTGGTGGGCTTTGTTGTTCCAAACCGCGCTGGGCATGGACGGAACACAGCAGCCGAGTTGAATCCGAGTGCTGCAGGGTGACGCCCCCAGGGGTTTGCTGGGCAGCCGTCTCGGCCTGTTTCCAGACTCCGCCCCTTGCCCGCAGCAGCCGCTCCTTCCCGGGTCCTCGGCTGTGGACCCGAGGCCTCGGGGCACCAGGCAGCGCGTGGGTGCTGGGTGCTGGGTGCTGGCGCACAGCGGGGAGCAGCTCGGCGAGGCCCCGTGAGGGAGGCGGTGAACAGGCAGACACCGGGGTGGCAGCAGGCAGTCTGGGGTGACAGGCGAGCACCTGGGGTGTGTGAGGTCAGGGGGCGGCGCCACGCCCTCGTCTGAGCCAGCTGCAGGCCCGCTGCCCACATCTGTGCGAGGGGCGGGGGCTCTGACCAGGCCGGTCCAGGAGGCAGCCTCTCTGGAGCACGGGAGGGGTCGCAGAAGTTCAGAGGGTGCCGTCAGGACTCTGGGCAGCAGAGAGGCAGCGGAGGAGTTGCGGGCGGCCTGGTGGGCTTGCTGGGGTCCCCTCACACCCCCAGGTGGCAGGAGCAGCGGAGAGAGTGGGGACTGGGGGGCGGGGCTCGGCCTTTGCAGTGCCCCTGCAGCGCCCTCTTCTGACCGGCAGGGCCTGGCGCCCAGGCCCAGGAGCAGCTCGCAGGCCCGCCCTTCCTCACGGGGCGGGGCGGGTTTGGAGCGAGGGGCTCCCCTGCCTCCCTGAGCAGATGCTGGTCTTCTCACTGAGGGGCAGCAGGTGGAGAGGTCCCCTCACTGAGACCCAGTGCACCGGCACCCCTGGGAGAGGCTGCGGGGGCCTTGACGGCAGAGCCCCCCAGTGCGCAGGTCTCACCCTGGGGTCCCTCTGGCTGCTTTGTGGAGGAGGGGGCACCGTGGGTCAGCGTGGGGGCCCCAGGCAGGAGGTGGCTATGGTCAGACCGGGCTGGAAGCCGGGGTGGGACCCGGTGCTGGTGAGTCTGCTTAGCCCTGGAGGCAGTGGGGAGGCAGGACTGCTGCGCCCACCTTCGCCGAGGTGCCCTGAGCACCCAGCCACCACGTGCGGCCCGGGCCCCTCTGAGAGAGGCAGACCTGCGGGTGGCAGGAGGAGGAGCCAGCCAGGACGATGGTCACTGGTCACGGCGCTGGCTGTCCTCTTGGTGAGCCCCGGGCGGGGAGGGGCGAGTACCTTCCTTCGCTGCGTTTGGTCTCCAGCTCTGTACCAGTCCGTGAGACTGGTGACAGAGTCCCACTGCAGCCCTGTCACCGGGGGACAGGGTGCCGGCCGGGCGGGTCGTGCAGTTCTGTTCTGAGACGGGAAAGTGCAGGGCGGGCGAGGGCTCGTGAGGCGGGGCCTCCGGTTGTCATGGTGTTCCCTGGAGTCGCTGTTGGCAGCGTCTTTTAGGTGCTGCTGGACGGCGGGGCTCGGAGGTCCACGCCTGCTCCTCCGTCCCGCCCAGGCGGCCCCTCCCCTCAGCCAGAGCAGGCGGCCTGGTGGGTGGGAGTCTGCGGGCCGGAGGCCTCCGGTCGCTGGGCCGGAGTGGCCACTAGGTTTCCACTCAGTGCCGTTGCAGGGGACTGGCTCCGTCACTGCCGGAGGCGCCCACGGGGCGATCACCGTGGGCTGCGTGGGCCCCAGGGGTGGAGCCGCCCGTTGGCGAGGACGGGAGGGAGCCCTTGGCTGTCCCATGGGTCATAGCGTCGAGGGGACCGGGGGCAGGCTCCAGACGAGACTCCTGGGTGTCAGGGAGGAAGAGTTCCCCGTGTGACCTCGTTCAGGATTTTCAGTCTCGGTTTTATGTGGTTCTTTAAGGGCATTTTCCTGAAATTTGTGTATGAGCATTTGCTTTTCTGATTAAATTTATTTTTATTCCATCACTGTTGACCCCCCCCACCGCCCTCCTCCACCCCCACCCCACCACAGCCCCCACACCGTTGTCCATGCCCACGAGTTCTGACGAGCAAACTGAACTCGCGAGCAAAGCAGAGACCAGCTCCTGCAGAGCAGGGCCTGGGGGTGGGGTGGCTTGCGCCGAGGACAGAGAGGTGGGCGGAGAGCTGCCTGCGAGGACGTCTGAGCGTGACCGGTCTGTGCTGTTCTCTCTCTCGAACAGGGCCAGGACTTCCTGCTGCACAGCCCTCTGGGCGGGGCCCCGGCGGAGGCAGGCGGCGGGAGGCTGGGTCTGGGTCCCCAGCCGCTGCCCTCGGACACGGCGTGTGCTTGTGATGCCTGCAGCGAGCGCAGGTACCGGAGCGGACGGGGGCCACGGGACGGGGGCCACGGGGCGGGGGCTGGGGCTGGGGCAGCGGCTTCTTCACGAAGGCCACGCACTGCTGAGAGGGAGCCCGTGGCCTGTGGCCTGTGGCGGGGCTGTGGGGGAGGGGGCCCGGATGAGTGAGACCCCTCCCTCCTCCTTACCCTGGGGGCTAGCTGGAGGGAGCTGGTGCTCAGAGGGGACAGGAGCCAGGGCTCAGTCATTGGAGTCCAAGGTCGGTGGGGTGGGCAGGGCCTGGTGTGGCTGCCCGAACCCTGGGCCGGTGCGGGTGAGAGCTGCCGGACGGGCTCCTGGACAGCAGAGGCCGGGAGCCAGGCCGGTCGGCGTCCCCGGTCCCTGCTGAGGGGGGCCGACGTCTCCTGGAGACGCACGAGGTCTCAGAGACCGGACCGTGAGGGCAGTGCCCTGCGGCGGCAGCAGGGCCAGATGGTGGGGGAGTGCTGGGTGTGGAGGGGAGGGGCCCTGGGGTGGGAGGGGGATGGGCTGAACCACCCTGACCCACCCTCGTGCTGCCTCACAGGGAGATCCCGGCGGCGGAGCCGGACCGCGAGCCGCAGCAGCTGCAGAACTACTGGTCCGAAGTGCGCTACATGGTCCGCTGCATCTACCGCCAGGCGGGGACCCCGCTGGCAGACGACCAGGACCAGTCCCTGGTGCCTGACAAGGAGGGGGTGAAGGAGCTCGTGGATAGGTACACGTGTCCCCTGTGTCCCGTCCCTCCCTGGCCTGTGCCCCCGGGCCTGGCCTCTGCCCGGGGTGGGGCTGGGAGGCTCTGCCACGGGGTGCAGGTGCACTGCGGGCCCTCTGCACAGGGCCTCGAATTCTGGTCGGCCGAAACCCTCGCTGCTGGTGTGGCAGAAGTGAGGTTGCGTGCCTCTGCCGCTAGTCTGCGTTGAGAGCAGCACTCGGTGCTCGCTGTGCCGGGAGCGCATCCGGCAGCGGTCGCGCCTGCACGGCCAGGACACGGGGGCCCCAGGCGTGGAGCCCGGGCAGGCGCCCGGCTGGGCCCGGCCTGTCGGGCGTCTGTGGGCAGGCGCGGCCCAGCGCGCAGCGTCTGCTCTTCAGCGGCACCGCGTGCTCCCCGTGACAGCTCAGGATTCGAGGTGGATGTCGTTTTCACTTTTTCACATAGTTTTAGCCCCCCCCTTTTTTTTCTTTTTTTAAGTGTTCCAAATAAAAGTGGTAAATGTGAGCTAGAAACTTCACGGTTCGATTCCTCATACTGGTTTCTTTTTCGCATGTCTCGAATGCGGCACCTGCGGGCGTCTGTGAGCCTGGTTTGCCGTCGAGTCGCTCCTTCCTGGACACGGGGGCAGCGACGGGCCGCGGGCCGCGGGAGCCGGCCGGTGGTGTCGGCCGCTGTGTCCGGGTGGGACCGGGTGCCTCTGCGGTGCCGCGGCCTGGTGTGTGCCTTTTTCGAGGTCAGGTCTCCTAGTGAGTGTTAGAGCAAAACACGCAAGCTGCACGTGACCCGTGGCTTCACAGCTCACGCACGCTTGGGAAGAGGCCGAGGTGAAGTCAGAGGCAGGTGAAAGGAGACACTCAGCAAGTCGCAGAGCAGAGGAGGGAGGTGTGGCCGAGACGAGGACGGTGGCCCGTGCAGGGCTGAGGCTGGGGACAGCGCTGCCCCGCCAGGGAGGCGCCCTGTCCGGACGGCAGGACTCCACGTCCCCGTTAGAGGAGTGTGTCTCGCACACCCGCCCTCTCCCAGTCCTGTGTCCGAGAGCACTTTCTGTTTCGGTGCCGCACTTGGGAAAGGGGCATCAGGGAAGCCCATGGCCAGGGGCCGCCCTGGCCGGCGAGGCCACTCCTTCCCCGCTCTGGGGCCCTCGGTGTCCCGCGGGACCTGGCTCTGCCTCCACCTCCCGCCCCTGCCCTGTTCTCCTGCCTTTGTTTCCCCCCCGGAGCCGTGGCATTTGCTCCTCTCTGTCGGAGCGTTCTGCCCTCTCCAGGGTCTCTCTCTCTGTCATCCCCCGCCCACCACTCCCATCGAAGAGGCCGCCCTCTCACGTCTGAGGGCCTGGTCCTGCCACGCACCCCTCACCCGCCGAGGACGGCGCTCTGTGTGTGCACGCGCAGGCCGGCTCCCGGGTGTGGGCGCCGCGGCGTGGCCCCAGCACGTGGTGCAGTGCGGGTGGTGGGGCGTCTGGGTGAGCCCCTGCGGCATCTCCAGCACCCTCCTCGGCCGCAGAACTTTTAGGGAGATCTGTTGGCAGAAACACCGCCCGGTCATTTCGTTCCGTTTATAAGGCACCGACACAGACGAGGAAATAAGACACAACGTGTGTCTAGTTTCACCAGGCTGAGGGGCTAAGAAGGAAGCACCCAGTGTGCTTGTGAGCTTGCCGGTCCCTGTGTCCTCTGAGTTTTGTGTGGCTTTTCTGTAACAGGTGAAATGCATTCTGTTCCAGAGGACAGTTAGGCTAGATTGTTGGACTGAAAGTCCTGTTTATCTCTCTGGAGTGTATTACCCACAGTGGGGACCCACGGGTTTTTACTGTGTCTCTGGCCGCGTTTTGTATGAAGCATCACGCACCCCATTGTGGGGTTTTACTTGGCTCCTTCACGGCCGAGGCGGGGGCGGGGGTCTTGAAAGGGGAGCAGGCAGTAACTCGCTCTGCCCTCTCGCCCGGACGTGGTGCCCGCAGGTGAAAGGGCCCGTTCTGTGGCGTCCAGGGGCTGTAGTGACCGGTGTCTCACAGCCCAAGTCTAGTGACGGGGCCCCCTCTGCGCCGGGGGGAGAGGGGGGTGCGGGTGCGGACTGGTGCCCCGGGGGCCCTCGCCGTCCCCCGAGGGGCCCTCCGGGGCTCGCGTGAACAGCTGTGCCCGGTACTGGAGAATGGGCCACGGAGGGGCTGCACGGACACGTCAGCCACTGCTGCGGCTCCGGGGGGGGGGGGCGCGGCAGGGGCACACTGGTCTTGCTCTTGCTCTTCAGCTTGCAGACTTCATTTTATTACAAACACTTCCTTAGTCTTTCGGTGGGGTGGTTTAAGAAGAGATGAAGTGTCTCTGAGTTCCCCTGGTTATAGAACCAATGCAGGCTCCCTGGGGCTGCGTACTGAACTCCAAGAACGAGAGGGTGCCGCCGGCGGCCTCCCCCACCCAGGGGTCGCCCCGTGGGGTCAGGGTCATTGTTTTTGCTCCACAGTGTCTTCAGTTTCCCGTGTTGCTAAGTCAGGGTCCAGAGTCACCCTGAGGCGCTGGTGTGGCCACTCTGCCACCTGCTGGCTCTGTGGGTCCCCACACCCTCCCAGGCCCGTGTGGGCTTCCGTGTTCAGTCCTCTGAGAGCCCAGTGGATGGTGACCGAGTTAGTAGAGAGCGCCGCCAGGTGGGGGACCGAGTTAGTGCAGGTGGCAGAGCCAGCCGGGTGGGGGACCGAGTTAGTGCAGGTGGCAGCCGGCCGGGTGGGGGACCGAGTTAGTGCAGGTGGCAGAGCCAGCCGGGTGGGGGACCGAGTTAGTGCAGGTGGCAGCCGGCCGGGTGGGGGACCGAGTTAGCGCAGGGGAAAGGAGGCCGGCACAGAGGACGCTCTCAGTAAATGTCAGTTTTTTGGGTCTTGGTGGGATGACGCGGGCCCACTCCTGACACTCCCGGCCCGTCTCCCTTTGTTGGGACGGGCGAGTGCATCTCCCGGGTCATGAGAAGGTGGTGTCGTTTCAGGTGGGCTCCTGGGGAGAGGCGTCAGGAGCGATGCCCGTGGGCGTAGAACGTGCTCCGAGGGGGCAGGGCGCGCGGGTGAGCGGTGACTGTCTCTCTGTGTGCAGGCTCTGCGAGAGGGACCCCTACCAGCTGTATCAGCGGCTGGAGCAGCAGGCCCGAGAGTACGTGCTGGAGATGAAGGTCCGCCTGCTGCGGCAGCTGTCGGCCGCGGCCCGCGTGCGGGCGCCGTCCGGCCCGCAGGGCCCGCCTCAGGCCCACCAGTTCGTCTCCCTGCTGCTGGAGGAGTACAGCGCCCTCTGCCAGGCGGCCCGCACCATCAGCACCTTCCTCGACACGCTGGTGAGGGCCCACCTTCCTCTGGCTCGGCGGGGCACTGGGGGCGCTTGGGTCGGGGGCGTGTGGCCCAGACCACCGTCGAGGCGCCCCGGGGGCCAGGGCTAGCCTGACTTCTCTCCCCTCCCCTGCCGTGGGACGAAAGTCTTGAGTGGTGGGAGGTGGTGGCATGTCATGAAACACCGTCTGGGGCGCGGGAAGCCGAGGGAGCGAGGCGGCGGACTGGGCGTGGTGAGGGCCGGCCTGCGGTCGGCAGGGACACGAAAGGGAAGGGCTGCTTGGGCGGCCGGTCACTGTTGCCGCCGAGCACAGGGCGTGCGTGTGGTGCGTGCCCGGGTGGTGGTGCACACGTGGAGGGCACACTGCTCCCCGGACAGCGCCCACCCACGCAGGCGCCCCGAGGAAGGAGACGGGCGGGGTGCTCTCCCTGGGTCTCGGACTGCCGCCAGGAGCAACGTGGGGGGCTCGGAAACGTGGCTGCCGGCAGCAGGGGCTGGAGACTGCCTCGGCACCCGCTGGTGGGAAGGGGGCCCCACTCCCTGGGAAGAGAGCCTCCGTCTCTTGACGGCCGCGGAAGCCCCTGCTCACCTGTGGCCGTCTGAGGGTGTCGTCGTGACTCAGGTTGTATTGGATGGCGCTTCCCTAGGCTGGTTTCTTAGTGGTGGGACCTCACTTGGAAACAGATGGTTCTTGAGTTTCAGCCTAACGGCCTTTATGTGCTTCTAAAGTTGGCAGACCTTCCCACCAGAAAAGCTCACGCAGTCCTGCAAGTAGTGTGGGGGGTCAGGGGCTTCTTCAGGCTTCGCTGCAGCGTGAGTGCCCTTCGCTCAGCGGCTCCCGGAACCTGGGGCGGGCGCTGGTCGGGAGGGGCGCTGGTGAGCGTCGGGGCCAGCCCACCCCGCTCTCGCTCCCTCTCCCGCCCTGCCTCCGGCGTGTCCTTCTGCCCCTCAGAAGTGCCCTCCCTGGCAGCACCCTGGGACCTCCGTGGCCCCGAGGACAGGGGTGCAGCTCAGCGCGTCCCCTGCCTGCGTCCGCCGTCGTGCCGGCGCCCACTGCCCCCGCTCGGCCCCGGGTCAGCGCGGGACGCCGCTCTGTGAGGCCGACGACAGTTCCTTTGAGCCACACCTACTGGAGCAGATGCCTAGCGATCTGCATAGGAGTTTTCTTACGGTTTGGGAAAAACCGGTGGATTTGAAGCACGAACTACAGCTCCTTGGTCAGTGACCATTCTTCCTGCGTCCAGAGACACCCACTGTGGCCGTCCCCAGTGGCACAGTGCACGGGCCCTGGACACTTCCGTCCTGCGAGGGACACAGCTGCGCTGCTGGTGGGCGAGCTCCAGCGCGGGGAGGTCTGTCACAGCACGCCGCTGCTGAGACGGCGTGAAGGGCGGGACGCCTCCGAGCTGAGAAGCCCCCGCGCTCCAGAGCCAGCACTCGCCCAAGGGCTCTTGAGACACCGGGACGCGGCCGCCCGTGGCCCGAGTCCGTCCCGGTGGGACCTGCCCCTGCTGCCGGGGCCACGGGGCCTCACCGCGCAGCGCGAGCGAGAAGCCGAGGGTCCTCGCACGGCGGGGGCAGCAGGAACATCCGCCCCAGGCCTCGGCCGGGTGGGCGGGAAAGCGCGGCCTCGCCTCCTGGGGGGCGGTAGCTGGGCTGCTGCCCAGAGGGGTGTGGTCTGACCGGAGGCTGTTGGCCTCCTGTGAGAGCCTCAGGGCTGGGAGGGACTGCGGTTGCCCGGCAGGTCAGGCAGCCACAGCGCCCTCTGCAGGCTCGACGCCACCACATGTAACCACGGGCCGTGTCACGCCCACGAAACTGGCGGGGCCCACCAACACACACACACACGGTCCATAGAAACACTTTCCAGACACACCAGGCAGCTCTGCGGTTGGGGGTTCGGACGCGGGTCCGAGAAGGCCCGCACGTGGTCCGCAGCGTCCTTCCCGGCCTGCCCTGCGCCCCCGTGGCCGAAGGGGCCCGCGGAGCCCCACTGAGGTGGCCCCTGCGCCAGGGTCTCGGAGCGGCGCCACAGTGGGGGCTCAGAGACGGGGGTGGGGGGTGGAGAGCTTTGGTTAACTTGGATTTTATCCGTCACTATTTCCTGTATGGAAATCAAAAGAGAAACTTAGAGATGTTGATTACTTTAAAAATAAGCCCATTGCATAACAAAAAGAGCCTTTTTTGAATTAAAAAAAAACTGTTTTCAAAACAACACCTTTATTTAGAAGGGGGCTGTCATTTACGTTTTTGCAAATTTCCAGAGTCTTGCTTGGACCCTGGGTTCTCATACCCGCTCTGCACGGGGCTGGCTGCCCTCGGCCGTTGCGGTGGGCGCCACCGCGGGAGCCCGATGCCGCGCTGTCTCCCGGCAGGTGGCTGTGGTGGCCGCTCTGGGAGAACGCCGGAGCCCGGCTGCTTCCCCAGTTAGTTCCGGCGTCGGCCCCGAATCCGAATCACAGAGCCGACCACTCGCCCCCGGCAGACCTGCTCACCGGGCTTTCCTCGTGGCACGCGCCACTCGCCTGAGAACACCGGCGCGCCGAAGGAGCTGTGGCCGCCTGCACGGTGCAGGGTGAAGAGTCGCCGATCCTCGCCAGGAAGACCTTGATGCGTGGGGGAGCTTCGAGGCCACGCTGGCAGATGCGCAGCGTCCTGAGCTCCGGTCTCTGCTCGAGAGCTGAGACTTGACGGCCACAAGCCGGGTCAGCTGCTTTCCGGCAGGAAGCAAGGTCACTTGCTGTGTGGGCCCTGCCGCCTGATTCCCTGCTGACGTCTCCAGAAGTGACACCCCGCTCTCCTGACCCTGCAGGACCCACAGAATGCGTGCCCACGGAAACACGTTTCCAGACGTGTGGCCTTCTGGGAAGTGCGCCCCTGGGGTCAGGGTCACATTTCTTCCACACGCTAAGTTGTAAAATGAAAGGGACACTAGACTTTAGTTATGCTGCCAGGCCTCTGGGCAGTGCCCCGCCAGGCTGTAGTGACCCTGAAATCCGAATTTCCGTCCACAAGGATGTACAAACCCTGCATGCCCTGCTCTCTCTCGAGGTTTGCTGTAGGACTTGCTTCGGAACCCTCCCCTCCTCCCCCTCCTCCTCCCCCTCCCCAAAACCCCGGCAGCTTGTGTGTTTGAACTTGGGGAGGAAGGCGAGCTCAGGTGGGAACCTTCGAATCAGAGCACGGGGGCTTCTGCCTGCCTGGGCCCGGTCCCTGATGTCCTCACACAAGCCTCACCTACGGCACACACCCCGCGGAGCCTGGGCCCTGTGTGCCCCGGGCAAGGGGCTCAGCCTGCGGGAGGCTGTTTCTGGCCCAAGCTCAGGGTTGTTGCCGGTGCAGGCACTGCCGGTGCTGGCTGCGGGAAGTACTCTGCTCTCGGCACGAGCCAGCATCCCTGCCGGCACAGCTGGTGAGGCCAGTTTGGGGTCTGCTTTCTCTCACGGGCCTCGCCTGAAGTGTAGGTTCAGAGTTCAGGGAGCACGCCGGGCGTGGCCCTGGCTAGGTGACCCTGGCCGCTAGAGCGCCATCCCGGCGTGCCGAGGTTTCGGGTCCGGCCCCCCAGTCGGGGCACGTGCGAGAAGCAGTGGTGAATGTGGGAGGGGGCAGAAACGCGCTCACCCTTCCCCCCGCCCCAGATCAAGAAGCAAACGTTAGAAAAACTTGACCATCTTCAGAAATCCGTTTTTGCCCAGTTACCTGCAGTTGCTGTCAGTCCCAAATGCCACAGTGACGGTCCTGTGTTGTAACTCATTGCTGGGTGCTCATAGGCTGGCGGGCAGGGCCCACTGACTCTGTCCAGGAGGTAAGTGGGGGGCAGCACCCTGCCCGCCCCCCCTCCGAGGGCCTGGTCTACAGCTGCCCTAGCGCCTGCCTGTTCCTCGTCGCGGAGACGAGTCGTGAACCGGCTCGGGCCTGCTCCTTTTCCCCGGGGCGCTGCTGGAGACGGGCCGCTGCGGTGCTCTCTGCTCCCGTCCCTGGCCCGGCGCCTGCGCAGACTGGCCTCCGGAGGCCTGTGACACTGCCCTCTCCACGCTGCCAGCTGTGGCTGTGACCTCACAGCCACGTCGGGTCAGAGGCCAGGGGCTGAGTGTCGGTCCCGGCCCCGGCCTCCCGCACGCCCCGCTTCCCTGTGTCGCCCCGCTGCGGCTCAGAGGGGTGTTGGGTGCGGGGTGTGGGGTGTGGGCGAGCTGTCGCGGTGCGGGCGGCGCGAGAGTGAGCCAGGGCGCCGCGTGGCACCAGGGAGGGGTCGGAGCGGTGCAGCTGTCCCAGAGCTCCGGCCGGCGGCCGCGGGGACCAGTGGGCAGCGCCGGCCAGCGTGTGCGCCCAGTGTGCGTGCAGCCTCGTCCCGCGGTGCCGCTGCTCCCGGGGCACGGGCGACGGAGCGCCCCCTGTGGGGCATCGCTGGCGTCTGCGGGCGGGGGAGGGTGCACAGGCAGAGGCCGCTGCGTGTCGCCCCCGAGGGACCCGTTTCCGACGGGGCGCGCAGGGACAGTGTGGGGTGGGGGGCGGTTCCTGCGCAGGCCCTCGTCAGGGCGCGAGCCAGGTGCGCTCCTGCACCGTCACGGCGAGGCCCGTCCGCAGTGCGGCGGCCTGTGGGGACAGGAACACGCTGCCCCTGCCGGTCCCCCCCTCGCGGTGAGGGCTGGCGCCTGTCTCTCCTGATGCCACTCTCCGCGGTGGCCAGCACGCCCCCGGGTGCCCAAGCCGTCATCTGAACCGAGGGGTGCGTTTCTCCAGGTCCGTTGGGGAGGACAGTCCCGACCTCGCACGGGTGTCACTCGGGGGCTGCTGGCCTCCGTCAGACGGGGGGGTTGCTCCCGACGAGCCCGGGGGCGGCTGTCCCTCGTCGTGGAGGGGCCTGCACACGTGTGGGCTGCGGAGAGTGGGGTGTCGATGCTTGGGAGAGCGTGGTTGTAAGAAGTGACCCCCAAGCATGCGCAGCCATCCCCTTCTCCCTCTGCCCCTCCTCGCCTGCGTGGGCCCCACCCCATCGTCTGCGTGCGCGCGTGTGGGCGGGGGGGGGGGGCGGGGGGGCGGTCTCCGCCCTGCGTGCCCACCGCACAGGGGCAGCGGCTCCTCGTCTGCGGACGGCTCTGGGCCCGTGCTGCCAGGGCCGGCGGAGGGGGAGAGGAGGTCCTTCTGGGGAGTTTTAAGTGTCATCAACTCAGTACGTCTTCTATGTATTTTCTTAACTAGGAAAATGAGCACTTGAAAAAGTTCCAGGTGACATGGGAACTGCACAATAAGCACCTGTTTGAAAATCTGGTCTTTTCGGAGCCCCTTCTCCAGAGCAACCTGCCAGCACTGGTGTCTCAAATCAGGTATTTAGTCCTCATGTGCGTGTGTCCCGTGGTGTGGCAGCCGGGTCCTGCTCCCGCGCGTGGCGTGGGTGCCTCTGAACACCACTGCGGTGTGGGCGGTCTCGTCGGGAGAGCCTCGGGTCCCGGGGAAGCCGGTCTGGGCAGGAAGCTACACACCCGAGTGACATGGCTGCACTGGAGAGTGACAGGCCCAGCGTCAGTGCTGCTCATTGTGACACCACGGACTCCTCAGGGATACGGGGACGCGGCGGGAAACGGCATCCTCCCTGGACGAGCCCCGGGCAGGGCTGGGGGCCGGGCTGTCGCTGTCCCCGTGGCTGTGGCGTTGGACGTGCCGGGGCAGGCGGGCGGGGGGCGGGCTTTCCACTGTGGGTCTCAGGGGCAGGGAGGCTCCCGGGCACTGGGCCCGGGGTCAGCCACACTGGGTGTCTCTGACGTCCCCTCAGCATCTTCGTCCTCAGCGTGGTCCTTCCTGCGTGTGCAGAGGGCACCCTGGGCGCCCGCCCCCGTGAGGGCTGCGGCCGGTGCACCGGGCACGGTGCCCGGGGACGTTGCCCAGACCCCTGCTGTCAGTGAGCCCGGGGCCCAGCTGCCGGCCCCCCCCCCGTGTCTGCCGGCCCCCCGAGTGGACTCGCACGCCAGGCGCATCGCAGTGACAGCACAGGAGGGGTCGTGTTTATTTAAATGCCCTTACTGGGAGTTGGACCAGACTCGCAGAGGACAAAAGTTACTATCGTTGTTATCTCCTTAGAGAGAAAGGGAGGGAGAGAGTGGGAGAGAAACCTGGGTGTGAAAGAGAAACATCCATCAGTTGCCTCTCACATGCCCCCCCCCCACGCACCTGGGGACTGGACTACAGCCCAGGAGTGTGCCCTGCCGGGGACCGAACCCATGACGGCTCCGGGGCTGGCAGTTATTTTTAAGTAAACGAGTCACTGTCGTAGCTGACGTGCAGACCAGTTGTCTTCCCTCTGGAGGCCCAGATGCGCACCCGCCTGCGTGTCCCTCGCTCTGGGGGGGCACGGCCTCCTGGGCGGTCACTAAAGCGCGTCAGGGACGAGCAGGCCGGGGGACAGTGGTGCCGCCGGGGGCCCCTCCCCCGGGGCGGCACGGAGGCCCGGTGTCCCCCCGGAAAAGAGAGTCGAGGGCAGTCGAAGCCACGCGACTGCGACGCGGAGCCTGGCCTTGTCCCCGCGCACGCACGACGTCCCGCCCGCACCAGCACGCTGCAGAGACTCGCGTCTTGGCAGGAGGGGTGCCAAGGTTGCAGCCGGTTTCCCCTCGAGGTTTTGTGTCGGCCTGGTGAGCTCGTGAGTGTGACCGGCCCGTCCTCCGACGGGAGCGGTGCCAGGAGCCCGGCGTGTGTCGCGGCACGCCGCCGTTTTCTGCGCCCCGCGTCGGGTTTCCCCCGCGCTCCTCGTCGGGGAAGCTGCTCACGCTCGAACCGGAGCTCTGGGGCCGGGCATGGCTCTCGGGGGCCGGCAGGGGCGGGGAGCAGACACTGGGGCGCCAGCTGGGGAGCAGGGGCGCGCAGTGGTCCCTGAGGGCTGGGCACTCAGAGGGGGTTCCCTGTGTGCCCCCTGTGGGTAATACATGAACCCCACGCCCTGAGGTCATGGCCTTGTCGGCGGCCCAAGGAACCCACTGTTGCTTGCACGGTGACACTCTGTCTCTGGCCCACATCTGTTCAGCTGTGCGATAAAGTGAAACGGAGATCCGGAGGATGACACCGAACAAGTGTGTCCCTTAATGAGTTGTTAGCGGGCGGTGTCCCGCAGGTGCCACCTGTCACGGCCACCGGAGGCCAGTCCCCTGCGCGCCCGTGCGTGCGTGGGCGCCTCACTGGCAGGCCCGGCCCGGCCCCGCCCTCCCCTCTGCAGTGCGCGTCCCCGCAGGCCTGCCTCGAGTTAGCTGTGGGACGGGCCGCTCCCCTCCGCAGCAGGCGTGCCCGGTGCGCGCCGCGACCGCACAGGCCCCCCGCGGAGAACGTGCCGTGCACCGAGCGGCTCTCGGTGTGCTGGTGCGGGACTCACTTCTGCGGCCGTAGTGAAGTGACGTGACCCACGACTCCTCAGGCTCTGAGTGTGCTGTTCTGTAGCATGGAGCACCCACAGTTGGGGCGACCAGCACCTGTTTCTAGAACTCTCCGCCTCCCCGAACAGAAGCCCTGTCACCGTGGGCCAGGGCCTGCCTCACAGCCCTGCCCCTTTGCTGCGTGTGTCTGGAGACCCCTTCATCTGCAGGCCCCTCCCCTCCTCCGTGGCACAGACCAGGGCACAGACCAGGGCCCGTCTGCTCCCGGGCAGGGCCCCGGCTGCAGCCCGGGAGGTGGTGGCAGGACCCAGCAGCCCCGTCAGACTCCGCCTCCATCCCAGTGGCTGGGCTGGGAGCCTTGGTGTGTCTGCCTGTCTGTGGCTGTGGCTGTGTGTAGCTGTGGTCTTCGTTTGTGGTCCTTGTACAACGTGGATCGTTGGGGAGAATTCTGATTACGGTCGTAAATGAGCTTCCTCGAACTGATTTTATTTCATTCTCTCGGTCCCGTTCCGTCTCCCTGCACGGTGTGTGTCGTCGATGTCAGCCGTCCCCACGTGGCCGCGTTGGTACAGAGAGAACGATCGGGTGGGGGCTGGTCTGCCGAGTCGTCGTCTCCGGACCCCGGGGCCTGTCTCCTCGGGGCCCCGCCAGCTGTGCTGGACTGGGAGCCTGTGCCTGCAGACCGAGCTGCGGTGACCCCCGGGGGGCATCCCCGTGGGCTCCCGTAGATCCCGTGGACGAGCGGGTCTCACCCGCAGTTCCTGGGGCCGAGGTGTGTGGGTGGGCAGAGGCCAGTGCTCTCTGGCATGCCCCGTCCTGGCTGCCGGGGGCAGGTGTGTAAAGAGTGGCTGTCTGTCAGGCTGTGGTGAGCAGGGGTGGGGAGGGCACCCTGCCTCCTGGCTGCTGGAGTGGGGTGCTGTCAGGGCCTCTGGGCCTCTGTAGACCCCAGGGGTGCCTCTGGGTGTGTGTCTGGAGTTTAGCGTCCTAGGGCAGAAGCAGCCCCAGTCACTGTGGGGGTCACTGCGGGGGTCACTGCGGGGGTCACTGCGGGGGTCAGCGTGCCTCCCTCTCTCTCTCCCTCTGGGTGCCCTGCCCCTGACCCCACCGGGCCCTGTGGAAGCGCATTTGCTGTGTGCGGTCAGCACAGGTGTGTCTCCCCAGCGGGCGCCTGGGGACGAGGCAGAGGAGCCTTTCCCGGGCTCTGGGTGGAAGTCATTTTGTGTGCACCGTTGGTGTAGCAGCATTCTGTTGTCACTGCGGTAGAATTCGGGAAGTGTGGGAAGTCACGAGGAGGAGGCGGCGCCGCGCACGACTGGGCGTTCTGGACGGCCTCCTGGGCCCACCCCGCGCACACGGCCCACCCCTCGCACACGCTGATACCACGCACACGCCCACCCCGCGCCGCAGCCGCACCTCGCTCAGCACGTGAAGGCCAGGCTGCGTGCCTGCGTCTTGCGCGCGGCTGGGCCTCCTCCCCTCGGCGGTGCGCACCTGGGTGCCCGGGGCTGGGAGGCCGTCGCTGCGGCGTTGGTCCTGGGGGAGGTGGGGGGCGCGCAGCTGCCAGAGCCCCCCACCCACAGCGCCGGCTGTCGGCCCGCACGTGCTCCGGGCGGGGGCCGGCGCGTCTCTGTTTCTGGAGTCCCTCGTCCTCGTGCGGTTGTTTTGGTTCAGACGGTGGTGTGTTCAAGCACCGCGAAAGCAAGCAGCTGCCCGCGCGGAGCTGCAGGTCCCCTGGTCCTCGCACAGGCCTCTCCGGCTGCCCCCAGCCGTGTCCTCCCGCAGACAGGGGCGCGTCCTCTGTCTCCTGTTCGTGTCCCCACTTCCCTCCCATCTCACTGTGTCCTTAACAAGGCGCGGAACAGAGCGGGTGACAGCACGGTCACACCTTGTGGTTCGAGCCAGGGTGTCTGTCCGACCTCGTCTGGGGGCCGGGTCCGGGCTGTGCCACCCCGACTGCTCTGTGCGCTGCGTGTGGTGCACCCGTCCGCCCGGCCTCCACCCCCAGGTGCGGCCCTCTCTGTCCTGGGGCCCTGCTTCTCGGGCCGCGCCTGGGGCCGGAGCCTCTGGACACCACCCCCCCCCCACGCTGAAAGGCCTCTCCCCATAGGCTGGGCACCACGACGCACGACGCCTGCGGCGAGGACGCCTACAGCACCTTGCTGCAGCGATACCAGCGCTCCGAGGAGGAGCTGCGCGGCGTCGCCGCCGAGTGGCTGGAGTGCCAGAAGCGGATCGACGCCTACGTCGACGAGCAGGTGCGGCTGCGCCAACCCTACCGCGAGCTTGGCGGGAGGGCGGGGTGCACACGGGCGGCCCTCGCCGGGGGCGGCGCGGGCAGGGGGCAGCAGAGCCTCGGCACTTGGCCCGTCACTGAGCACCGTGCCTTCCAGAGCCTGGGACGCACAGAGCGCCAGGGCCTGTGGGACCGGTTCTCCACACCCCTGGCCGGCCGGCCGGAAAGGGGGTGCTGGCCTGAACACGGCAGGTCGCCGTGGGGCCGGTGGCTGACAGTGGGGGCAAGGGCAGCAGAGAAGCAGGGCTCCTGGGAAGGTGGGGCCTGAGGGCGGGGTGGTGCGTCAGCCGGGGCCTCTCCAGTGGCAGGAGCAGGGGCTTCTGCGCGGTCCCCCGCCCCCCCCCCCCGCACTGTTGAGTCCCCTTTTCAAACTGGCCATAGTAGCATCTGCTTGCAGAGGGAACCGAGGGTCTCCTGGAACCCCCAGGGGTGTCCGCGTAACCAGACACTTGGCCCCAGTTTGAGCCTTCCCGTCCGAGAAGATGCTGTGTGCATCTCCTGTGAGGTTGGACGTGTGTCCTGGGTTGCGGCGGCGCGGTTTACACCCTTCTCACTGTGGTCACGCCAGGGGGTGGGTGGTTGGGGGGGCTCTGGTGAGTGGCACCCCAAATCTTCCAGCTCTGGATGGGCTGACGGGATGAGCTTCCTAGTAGCTGTTGCTGGTGTGCCCAGGGAAGCCCGGTGCTGTCCCGCCCTCGCGCCCGACGCCGTGGCCGCTGCACGTTTCACGGCTGGTCCCTGGGAACCTTCCACGAGCCCTGACAGCCCTGTCACAGCTGCAGCACAGGAACAGGGCGTGCCTGGGCATCGCACGTCGTCTGGTGCTGGCCACACAGATTTTTGATGCTTTTTAGCAAATTGAAGAAGTTTTTTCTAGCTTGTGAAGGTTATTATTTTTGTAAAAACAAGAATAGATACTGAATTCGTGTGTGTTTTTTCTTTTACACATCTCCAGAAGGTTTAAGAGACTAGGTTTCCTAATCTTCAGACACTGCGCGTCCCTGGGATGAAAGTCTGCCAGAGGCCTGGCTGGTCAGAGTGCCCGCCCAGTGCGCCGGGGCTGTGGGTTCGATCCCCAGTCAGGGCGCAGAACGGAAGCAGGCGACGGGTGCATCACTAAGAGGAACAGCAGACTGAGGCTTCTCTCTCTCCTTTCCTTTCTCTCCAAACGCAGATAAGAATTTTCAAACACCCTACTAGACCATGACACATTACTTCAATCCGTTCTAAGGTCTGACTAGCTGATGCTCCATTTGGGGTCCCTGTGTCTGTGTCTGAGGTGCTGTGGTGCTTGGTTCAGCGGCGAGCGCGCTGAGGCTGGGGTGCAGTGCAGGGCTTGTCCTGGAGGGCTTGTCCGGTTTATGTGGGGGTTACGCCAGTCTCAGGGAACAAACTGAGAAACTGTCCGTGTTTTCAGTTTGGGGGAACACTTTAAATTTTCTGTTCTATAAAGGGTGTTCTAAAAATCCCCGCTAAACTTTGGGTCTTGATTTGTTTTGCAGGCAGTAGGGACAGGACTAGAGGGTTTTGTTTTGTTTTTCAGTCTTCACCCAAGGATGTGTTGATGGATTGGAGAGAAGAAAGGGGGAGGGGAGAGAGAGAGACATTGTTTGCCTCCTCTGTGCACCCAGACCAAGGATTGAACCTGCCACCCAGGCATGTGCCCTGGCCAGGGGCTGAACTCACAACCTTCTGGTGTGCAGGACGATGCTCCAACCACCTGAGCCACCTGGCCAGGGCAGGACTATTGATCTCTTACTGCCCCTTCAGTTCACATTGCATTATTAGTCTGCCTGGGCGCTCTGCTCTGTGAGGGAGTTTCACAAATGGCTCTCTGCCTGGGAAGTTGTCCACGGCGTTTCCGTGGAAGGGCCAGAGCCCCAGCTCGTGCTCACGGGGAGGTGTGGGGTGAGAACGCCCCGGCCCCCTGGGCTGCCTCTCGTGGCCACGCTTTAGAGAGAGTGCTTTGTCCAGCAGAGGTCACGAGAGGGCAGCGTGCCTGCTGTCCTGCCGTCCCCATGGAGTGCCCGCAGAGCTGCTGAGACCTTGGGGGAGGCCTGCGTCGCCAGGGGAAATCCGAAAAGCCTTTTCCTGGGTGACTCGGCGTTTTCAGGGGTGCCAGCCCCGCCGCATAGCCCGCGGCACCGCCGGCAGCTCTTCTGAGCTGGGGGGGAGTCGGTCGTGCGGAGTTCGGGGACTCTCCCCTCGCTGTCCTCCCCCCCACACACCCCCCCCCCCAGCTCTGTGCGGCCCTCCCCTGCGGGTCAGCCCGGGAGGGACGGGCAGCGCCAGCATCTGCAACTGTGTTTTCCCAACGGTTTCAGCTTTTACTGTTGAGTCCTTCCCACCGTGTTCGGTGGTTTCTTGTTTTACGTCATTTTGTCTTTTTACACCGAACGCATACTTCTCGGTCTTTTTTGCTCTGTTTTGCTCTCAGGTCGGCCCAAACCTGTGTGTTTGCTGCAACGTGGGCACATGTTGTGAAACGGGATTTGTGGGGCTGTCATTGCCAGTTACGTCGGCATCAGTTTCCTCTCGGGTGGCTTGAGCCATGGGAAGTTCTCTCCCAGTGTGCGAGCTTCACGTTATGGAGTCACTCTTCCCTTGCTCGGGAGGGTTTGGTGGGAGTGTTCTGTCGCCAGTGGGACTGGGTGTGTCTGGTCTATACAATGTCAAGGTCGGTTCTCGCGTCGCAGCCTCACCCTCCGAAGGAGGGCAGTGCCTTTCGCTTCTCCCTCGCTCGCCCTCGGTGTGTTTCTGAGGGTTGTGGTCGGGCGCCTGCGCCTACACCACCCGCTCCCTCCCGGCCCCGCTCCTCCTCCGGGCTCACCCTCCGCATCCACGCTGCTCTCCCGGCCCGGCGCCCGCCCTCCGCCCTCGTGCGTGCCACACGGCACGGGCCTTCGGTGGGCGCCAGACACCCGTCCCCCCGGCGCCGGCGGGCCCCTCCGACCCCCTCGGTCCTCGCTCTGCGCTCTCCCCGCCGTGGGCACCGCGCCTTCGGGCACTGGGAGCTGGTCGGCCAGCAGCGCGGGCATGGAGACAGCGTCAGCGGCGTGGCCATGCCGCCCCGCCCTGGTCCATGCAGCGCTTCCATGCGCGTCACCCCCACGGCCCCCTAGAGAGGCCCGGGCGCGCCTCCCGGCTCTCAGCGCCGTGCTCTGCTGCTTCCCCCCAGATGACGGTGAGGACCAAGCCGCGCGCGCTGGCAGAAGACTGGGAGGTTTTCAGGCAGCGGCGGTTCCTCGAGGAGCAGGTGAGGCTGTGGGCCGGCGCCGCTGCGCGCTGCGCGCTGCGCGGCTCCGAAACACCGACTCGGTGAGCCTGACACTCCCCTCCCGGGCGGGCGGTGCTGAGTCCAGTGTATGCGCGTGGGGTGGCCCGGGGAGGCCACCGCGCTCAGCGACCGCCCTCGAGCGGGGGCCCGCCCTTCCCCGCTGTGGCGGCCCTGGGACGCTCAGTGTCCTGGAAACCCGCTTCCCTCGGCCCGGGCGCTCGCGCCGCTGCGGCTCCCCGGCCGTCTGAGTCTCCCTGGCCTCGCCCCCACGCCCGCCCCCGCCCCTCACCCCCGTGGTCTTCTCTGGCACCACAGGTGGACAGAGGGCCCTGTCTCCGGCTCGCACACCTGACCCCCCAGCCTCCCCACGTGGCTTCTGTCCGGCCAGAAGGCCCTTCCAGCTGCCAGTGCCCCGTGGTCGGGGCCGGCCCCGGCTCCTTCCGAAGTCCAGGTGCTCACCTAGTCGTTGGCAGGTCTGGGTGCCACTTCCTGGGCAGCTCCCGGACGGACCCCTCCTCGGGGCCGGTCTTCCTTCCTGCCGCTGGTGTCCGCTCCGGCCAGCCGTCCTCACAGCCGAGCCCTCCGCCCCGCCTCTGCCCTCGGGTGCACAGCCCGCAGACCTGCCAGGCCGCACGCTCGGCCCTGGGTCAGCAGACCTTCGGGAGGTGTCAGAGGGACGCCCCGCCGGCGCTTGTCCCTCGGCTCCTGGCAGCACCGCCAGCGCGGCCTCCTCCCGGCCTTGCTCAGGCCTGGGCGCCGTGGCCCCACGCAGCTCTCTGCACGGACCTCTCTCTGGCTCCACAGTTCTGCCTCCTGCCCGTCTCTCTCTGAGCCACAGCCCCTCGGGGCAGGGGCTCATCTCTGTGCTGCTGCGGGGGCCCAGCTCGCGCCAGCGCACGGCAGGCCTCGGGAGAGCGGGGGGCAGGTGTCGGCCGGGGAGCCTGCCCAGGGTGGCTGATCGCTGGCCCGTGTGGCTCTCTCTGCCTGCAGACTCCTGGCCCACCACCCCCTCCCCTGGCCCTGTCCGACCTCAAGAAGCTGCGGACTCCGTTTCTAGATGAGCATGACTGAAAACCAGGAGACCCGTGGTAGCGGGAGACTTGTCCTGCCGACCTGACCTCCTGTTTTACAATCCCCTCTAGTTAACCAGCAAGAAGGCGGTCACGGGTGAGAACAACTTCACGGACGCCGTGAGGCAGGTGCTGTCATCCCGGCTGAGCGTGCCCGACTGCCCCAGCTGCCACTACCGCAGAAGGTGAGGCACTCGTGGCCCGTGGGGCGCGCCCGGAGGGCCCTGGTCGTCTCAGTGACCGTCCCCTCCCACTCAGGTGTGCCTGTGACGACTGTAGCCTCTCGCACATCCTCACGTGTGGCATCGTGGACCCCCCCGTCCCGGGTGACACCCACGCCCACCAGCTGCCGCTGCAGGCGGGCTCCGCTCCAGACTGCGTCTCTGAGATGCGCCCGCCCAGCGCGTCGTCCGCGAGCTCGGGGTCGGGCTCCAGCTCCCCGGTCGCCGTGCAGCAGCGCCCCAGACTCGTCCTCGCGGACAGCGGCCCCACACCAGCCTTGTGAGTTGCGTCTTCATCAGAAGGTGTCAGAGGTGTGACATTTGCGAGAGCAGACGTTTAAGCCCGTGACCGACTTGAGACCGCTGCCCCGGTGGCAGCACATGTCCAGTGTCTCGCCACGGAAGTGCCTGTGCGGCTCTGTCCGGCTGTCTGTGTCTGAGGGTGCAGGGGTCGCAAAGGCAAACACTGCTGACCCGGGCGGCTCCCACGCCCCTTCGCTCTGCGTGGGCCAGAACTGCGTCTGCTCGGCACCGGCAGGAGCACCCCGTCCCCCGGGCCCGCCGGGTGGGCCGGCAGGGTCGCGGCCCTCGCTCGGGGCAGGTGGCCGTGGCTCCTGCACACTCCCCTTGGAGCGTGTGCTCTCCCCCAGCTGGCGCCAGCCAGCCGCCCGGGCCCTCGCTCCTGCTCAGGCTCCCCAGCGACGGCGGGAGGCAGGAGCGGTGCGCAGGGTGGGGCCTCTGAAGAGAACGGAGCCCGGGGGTGGGGGGGGTCGTCTGAGCCCCTGAGAGCGGCTCACAGCCGCCTCTCTGCTGTCTCAGCTGCAGCGACGACGAAGACGCGGCCCCACTGCCGGCCACGTGTGCGGACATCTACCCGCTGACCAGCTACAGCGACGCCGAGGTGGCGGCCAGCATGAACGGGCTGCACAGCGAGTTGAACGGCGGTGGGGAGAACATGGCCCTGAAGGACGAGGTACGCCGTGGCGGTGTCGTCGAGACACCAGCAGCAGCGAGGGGCGGCGGCCAGGCGAGGGGCGGCGGCCAGGCCAGGGGCCCTTCACGGTGCTCTGCCTGTCGTTAAGTCCCCGCAGGTGAGCAGCAGCAGCAGCAGCAGCAGCAGCGGCAGCTCCTCAGAGGCCGACGACGAAGAGCCGGATGGCGGGAGCAGCGGGGAGCCCCCCGGAGCCCCGCAGGAAGGCACGGCCCTGGGGAACGGGAACCCCAGGACGGAGGACAGCAAAGCGGACAGTCCCCCCCCATCTTACCCCGCGCAGCAGGTGCGGTTTCACTGCTTTGAACTCACCGTTGCACGAGGGCCCCTGCTCTGTGCCCGTGGCCCCCACACTTGGGGAGCAGTCAATGCAGAGTCAGGTCTTGTCGAGTGACCCCCGAAGGTCCACCCTGGGGAGAGCCTCACCCAGGACCCCCAGGACCAGGGAGCTGCGTCCGAGTCTTTTTCTCTCGCCTGAGTTCTGTGTGCAGCATCGTGGTTTTGCAGCACCCCAGTCAGTGTGGACTCTAGATGTCATTGGGATTTCGTCTTTATAGAAGCCAAGGGGAGAGCTGCTGCTGTTGTTTTTAATAAAATAGAATAGTGGAATGGTAAAATTCTAGCAAAGGTTAGGTTTGTTAAAAGAGCTTTCTTACCCTGGAAGGTAATTCTTTTTCTTTTACCCAAAGGTGAGGGTATCTTATCAGGCGAGTATACTTTCTCAGTGTTATAACATGTTCGAGCAATTTTTAAATGAAAGGCACAAGAAGTCGAGGTCAGGATGCTTGGCTAGTTCATGCGTTTCAGTGGCTGGTGCAGACCTGGTCCTGGCAGTCAAGGGGGCGGAGCGCAGCCCTGCACTTCCTGCTGGCCCATCCACCCTGTCTGGCCCCCCGCCTGGTTTCTCCCCCCCTCCCGGCCCCCGTGGGCTCCCACCGCTTACTGCCGCACACTCCCATCGCTCCCTGCTCGGCGGGGCCTGGCCGGCTGTGCACAGTGCGCGCCTGCACTCTGCCGCGGCCCGTGGTCCGTCGGGTGTCCGTGCACGCACAGCCACGTAGGGTCTTGTTCTCCCTGGTCCCCGCTGACGGACACTGTGTTGGTCAGCTGTTCTCGAGCGACCTCACCCACCGGACGTTGCGTGCGTGAGCAGCTGTGTCTCCAGGGCGGGTCGCCGGTGGCCTCCCCCACCCCCCGAAGAGGCCCACGTCACCGTGTTGGAGTTGTGCCCTCCTGATGAGACTCGGTGACCCCTGGAGGGCCCGGTCGCCGCCGTCTCTCCTGTGGGCCGAGTCGGGCAGCCTTCCGTGTGCTCGTTTGTGCTCTGTCCCGGCGCCGAGTCGTGCGAGCTGCTCCTGGGCTGGTGCAGGTCCCGTGTCGAGTGTGTGATCTGCACATGCTTTCTCTCGGCCTTGGGCACAGCTGCTCGTTTTCCTGTGGTGCTTTTTGAAGAGCACAAGTTTCTCATTTTGGTGCATTCCGGTTTACCAGGCTTTTTCTCTGTGAGACATCTTGCTGATGCCACACCCAGGAACACGCTGCCTGAGACGCCGCTCTGGGCTGGCTCGCACGCAGTCGGGCCTGGGGCCCCCTTGACTCGGCGTCTGCTCGCGGTGTGAGGTGGGGCTCTGCACGGGTCCTGGCGCAGGCCCCCCGCCTGCCTGGCTGCACGGTAGCTCGAGGCTCGCCTGCCCCCGGTCCTCCCACCACAGTGGCCTGGGCGGTGGCTCTGCCATGAGCGTGGAGTCGGGGAGGGCCTGCCCCCCACTCGCAGGCCTCGCTCAAGGTCGCATTTCCACGGAAGTTTTGGAACCGACTTGCGGATTTCTACAAAAAACCTGCTTACGTTTGTTTGTTTGTTTGTTTGTTTGTTTTTAAGGTTTTATTGATTTATTTTTAGAGAGAGGGGTTGCCTCCACTACACTCCCTGACCAGGTACTGAACCTGCAACCCAGGCCTGTGTCCGTACCAGGAACTGAACCGGCGACCTTGTGTCCCAGCACCCATCCCACTGAGCCACACTGGTCAGGGTCCTGCTTGGCTTTGTGTAGAGAGTGCATTGAATTCTTGAGTATCCTTGAGTCCTTCGGTAGAACCCAGCAAAATTCTCTGGCCCTAGTCTTCTGTCAGCGGGACAACGCAGGTCGATGTGGGGAGAACCCAGTCCTAACAAAACTGAACCTGTCGGTCTGCGCACACGCTCCGTCTTTGCACTTACGTACATCACCTTTGGTTTCTGAGTTTAGAAAATTTCTAGTTGATATGCCTTGAACACAATTTTAAAACTAATTTTTAAGTTTAGATGTTTTTTGATTCTATAGTAAATGACACTTTCTCATTTTGATTTTCAGTTGATTGTTGGTGACGTATAAAAATAGTCGCACAGTTGATTTTCATGTATCAATTTTGTGTTCTTCAGCTTTGCTAAGCTTGTGTTCTCTCAGCTGGGCCTTGCGTCTTCCCCCCGTCCCCCCCACGGCACCCTGTGCTCTGGGGGGCTTTGCCTCCACTTCGTGTGCCGAGCAGCGGCACGCCCACCGCCGCTGCTGCCTCTGTCACGTGGCGGTGTCCCTCTTCCTCCCTGGGCTGCTTTTCCTTGTGCCACACACCTTTCAGGTGCCGTTTGCATTCTCCTGTTGGCCTTCCCATTGTGTTTCTGGTTTGTTCAGGGGTGTGGGGGTTCGGCGGGGACAGCTCCAGGCAGGAGGCCAGCTCCTGCCTTGCTCACCTTAAGCCCCCGCAGGTGCACGTGAATAAATGCTTCCCAGCTGCCCTTTCCCTCCAGTTGGTGTCCAGAGCCTCGGACAGTTGTGTTCAGCTAGACACTTCGCTCCAACTAAGCGGAGGTCCCATCTTGGGTCCGTTCTGCCTTCGTCACCAGTCCCGTGTTCCTGTGCAGACAGCTGCCGGGGAACGGGGTGTGCACCCCTCTCCCCGGGCTCCTGCAGGCCTGGGCTCTCGGGCCCCCCGTTTCCCACAGGAGGAGGGCCCCAGCCAACGGGGCGTCGGGGCGAGCCTGTCCCCACCGTGCGCCTGCTCAGCAGGGTGCGTCTGACCTGCGCTGCGCCCCGTCTCCGTCTCTCCCTCAGGCCGAACAAGCCTCGAACACCTGTGAATGCCACGTCTGCAAGCAGGAAGCTTCCGGACTGCCGCTGTCGGCCATGACGGCCGGAGCCCTTCCGCCCGGCCACCAGTTCCTGAGCCCGGAGAAGCCCACGCACCCCGCCCTGCACCTGTACCCCCACATCCACGGGCACGTGCCCTTGCACACCGTGCCCCGCCTGCCGCGCCCTCTGGCCCACCCCACCTTGTATGCAGCGCCCCCCTTCACGCACAGCAAGGTGAGTCGGGCAGGGAGGGTCTGGCAGGCAGAGCTCTAGACTGGCGGCTCGTGTAGAACGGTGCCCGCTCTGGCAGGGAGGTCTGCCGTGTTTCCTTCTGCCGTTAGCGCTTAAGCTCTTGGAATGTCGAGCCTGTACATTATAAAACAGTCACGGAAGTCACGGTTTGTTCCTTCAGAACTCACTAGAATGGAAGGTTCTTCAGGGGATGGGTCATACCTGGGGCGACTGCCCTTGTGGCTTCGAGGGCTTGGCGCGTCCTGGGGGAGGGGCGGCGGGGGCCCTTGAACATCAGCTGGGCTCTGGAGTCCGGAACCGCTGTGCTGTTCTCAGAAAAACGGAGCACTCGCAGAAACGCACGGCTGGAGGAGGAGCCCTGGGCGCAGTGCACCAGAGGGTCCCCACGCCACACGGCCGAGAGAGGCAGCTGGAGGCGGACCGGATGGGGCCTCCGAGACCACTTGTGCCAAGGCTGCCCCAGGCCGGGGCGGGATCCCGGCAGCGCCGCTTCCTGGGCGTCTGCCCCCTCGCGGACCCCCACGCTCGGTCTGCTGTCCTGGACGCTCCAGGGGGCTGTGGGCGGGGCTCGGCGCCGGGCGCTGTAGACAGCTGTGCCTCTGTGGCTGTTCTGAACTTAGCTTTATTAACTCTTACTGTGCGTCCTGATTTTTATTATCCGTTATTCTGGTTCACGGTCATTTCTAATCAAAAACAGAATTCTGGCCAAAGCCTCCTGGTTTGATGTAAAGTAGTGACCAGCTGAGACGGAAAGGGAGGGCACATCACGGAGGGGCTTTTCAGGCTCCGTGGGCGCTTTCGCTCCTACGTGGGCCCTGTGCAGGGGTGGGCGGAGCCTGGGTGGGGCTTCCCGTGTGTGTGCCGGGCGGGGTGCAGGTCGGGCGAGAACACTGCTGCTTGAGACGTGAGTCAAGTCCTCCAGGCGTGTGCTGTTGCGGTGAGCACTCGGAAACCGCGGCCCCGTTATCCCTACGTTGTGTTGGCTTGAGTGCCGCTCACTCTGAACGTGGAAGGGTGCCTCTGTTCGTGGAACGATGTAAACAGTGTTCTCAGGTGCGGACAGTGGGTCCTCAGTGATGTCTTGTTCAGCACTGTCCCACTGTGACTCCACTGTGACGGTGCGAGTGCTGGTGGGTGCTGGAGGAGCCTGACTCTTTCTCACGCCGGTGCACTCGCGGCAGCATTGGCCGTGTGCCACAGCGTTTTCCTCGAAGTCACGGGACTCACCGAGGGTGTGAAGCGAGGCCTCGCTGGGTTCGAAGCCGGGCTGCCTTTGCAGTCCAGCCCGCCTGTGCAGCTCTTCCCCCGGTGCCTGTGGGAGGCTGGGGAGCCACCACCCCGTTCTTACCTGAACAGAGTTTTGTTTTCTCTGTTCTGAGGCGAGAGTACAGAATGTTCTCTTACTCTTTCTCGCTGGTAGATGCTGTCAAGACTCCCTGAAGTTCTTCGTCGAGTCACGAGGCTGGTTTATTCCCAAAGGGCATGGGGACACGCTAGTTAAAAACCAGCTTCCTTGGACTCGTGGCCTTTTCCCGGGATGTCACAGGCAGTCCACAGGATGGAGGGGACCAGCATGGGGAAGCAGCGTCTGTGTCTGCAGTCTCTTTACGTGACACCAAGCAGACTGTCCTCTCGGAGGTGGGTGTGGAGGACTCGCGGGCAGAAAGGCAGATCCGCAGGACACGCTGTTAAGCTTTCTTTCACCCACGGTACTGTTGCTGTCGGGACCGGGCGCTGACACCCAGAAAACACGTCGGCTGATGCTTTCCCGTCGGGAAGAAGGAGGTGCGCTGGGCTAGATGTTTCACTTGTACCTGGCGTTAGACCGTTCCTCTGACCACGCGTGCCTCGCCCTTGACCAGCTCCTGCAGGACGAGTTGGTCTTACCCGAGCTCGTCTGACGTAGCTGAGTGCGGTGGCTCCCTCTGGACTTAAACGCACGAGGTGGTCACAGCTCACGGGAGTCGACAGGAGCAGCTTTGGGAGAGCGGGTGGGCTGCGGAGAGGGGCACACGCTGTTGCGCTCCTCCGGAGCAGCTCTTGGGGCGGTCCCGCTCGGCGAGGTGGGCTGGGCGCGGCTGGGAGGCGGGCGGCTGGGAGGTGGACGGCGCAGGCCCAGCTCGGCGGGCACAGGGGCACTCCGCCCGCCTGTGTGTCTGCGTTGTCAGGGCCGCTGGGGTGGCAGGCGTTGCCGTCCAGACGCGGTGTCGTTGTCGTCATTCCACTGCCCGTGGCCCGTGCTTCGGCCGTTGAGGGTAAACACAGAGTACCTAAAATGCTCGGGTGAGTGTCACAAGAATTTTACTTCTCATAATTAGGAAAACTTGAGTACTCTTTCTGTTTTCAGGTGTCTCCATATCAGTGATACATTTAATTTGTACGTTGAGGTAAAAGTTATTTCAAAGTTAAAAAGTAGCTGCAGGAGGAAAATACAGTAATAAAATGCTAGAAAAGAAATTAAATCTGTGGTGGGGTATGTCCAAGTATTTTGGGATTCCCCGGCTGCCTCTCTGTTGCTAAACCCTACGTGAATTCCACTCTGCTCCGGGAACTGTGTGTTTCGATTACGTTCAGTGTGTTACGGCTGCTTTATGGCCCAGAGTGGGGTCTGTCTTGGTGAAGGTTCCGTGGGAGCGTGGGAAGAATGCGTCATCTGCTGCCGGTGGACGACGTGGTCTGCAGGTGCCGGTTCCGTGGGGTTGGCTGGCGGGGCTGCTGAGTTCGACCACGTCCTCGCTGACCTTCTGCCTGCTGGGTCTGTCTGTCTTGATGGAGAAGTGTGGGCATCTCCGACAGTGACAGTGGAGTCTTGTTTCTCCTCACAGTTCTAGCAATTTCTGCCCCACACGGTGTGATGCTCTCTTGTTAGGTGCACACACACTGAAGATTGCTTCATCTCCTTGGAAAATGGACTGTGTAATGTTACACGACTCCCCTGGTGGCTTCCCTTGTTCAGAAGTCCATGAAGCTGCTCCAGCTTCCTTCTGATTGAGATAAGCTTCAAGTTAGCATGCCCACCCTTGTCCACCCTTAACTTTTAATCTGTCTGTGTCTTCATATTTGAAGGAGGTTTCTTGTAGACAATATATAGTTGTCTTGTTTTCTTTTATCCACTCTGACAGTCTGGCTTTTTTTTTTTTTTTTAAGATTTTTTACTTATTTTTTAGAGAGAGGGGGAAGGGAGGGAGAAAAAGAGTGCAGGAAACATCAGTGTGAGAAACACTAATCAGTTGTCTCTCTCACATGCGCTGACTGGGAACCAGACCCACAACCCAGGCATGTGCCCTGACTGAGAATTGAACCGGCGACATTTGGTTCACAGGCTGGTGCTCGATCCAGTGCCACTGGGGTATGCCTTTTCCACTTTTCACTGAGCATTTCAGTCTCTTCTCTTAGCATGTCATTTATCCCTGTTTTTCAAGTGTTTGACAATGGCATTGGAGCATACCCTGTAACGAATCTCAGTCCCCTTCAGACAGCACTGAGCTGCTGGCCGCTGCTTCGTGTGCAGCGTAGGTGCCTGTGACAGGTCACTCCACCCCTGGGGACGTGTCGCCGTCGCTCCCGCTCACCCACAGCCGCCCAGCACACTGCTGCGGGCGAGGCTGCCGAGTGCACGTGGGACCAGGGAGCGGTCCGGAGAAGAGGGGCCACAGTTGGCGGGTGTTTGCCCTCCCCTCCCACAGACCCCGCGTGCGCCCCGCAGCCTGCCCCTGCCCTCAGCAGGCCACAGGGCGGGCCCGCCGGCCGCAGGTTCCCCCGGCCGCGTCCCTCTCCGGGAGTCTTGACCTCTCTCCCGCTCTTCAAGGACAGTCTCGATGCAGGGTTCTCGGTTGGTGGGGTTTCTGTCGACACTTCAGCCTGGCGACCTCCCTCTCCTTGCTCGAGGGTTTCTGGCGAGGCGTCCTCCGCAGGCTGCTCCTTGTTTCGGAAGCGCAGGGACGCCTCCCCTCCCCGGCCCCCGGACTGCTTTCGGGACTTTCTTGTTCGGGTTTTCCTTCTGTTCTGCAGTTTGTGTGTGATGTGCGAGGGGTGGGTTGGGGGCATTAACTCTGTCGGGTGAGCTTCCTGGCTGTGTGGCGTGGTGTGGTGGCTGCCGTAAGTTTCGGAACATCCCCAGCATTGTGACTGGAGATACTTCTTCCATCTGCTCTCTCCTTTTTTCCCTTCTGGTGTTCCCGTGACTGTATGTTGCATGTTTTAAAATTGTCCCACAGTTCTTGGATGTTTTGTTCTTTTTGGTGGTGGTGGTGGTGGGTTTTTATTATTTCTCTTCGCATTTTTGCTTGGAAAGTGACCGTGGACGTTCCTGGACGCTCACTGGTTCTCTCCCGGCCGCGTCCGGTCTGCTGCTCGGCTCGCTGGAAGCCGCGAGGCTCTCACAGTGGGTGTTTCCAGCCTCTCCCTCTTCATGCGACGCACGTGTTCTCACGCACCGTCTGTCTCCTCTGTCCGCTGGAGCCCGTGGCTTGACGGCTGCCGCCAGCCACCCCGCCCCTGCACTCCTGCGCCGCGTATCCAAGCTGCGGCGAGGGGCCCGCGTTCCTCCTGGTCTGTGTTCCGAAGCCCTCTCCTCCTCCTCCTCCTCCTCCTCCTCCTCCCCCCCTCCTGGTCACCCGGCTGACGCTGAACCTGTCGCATGGGTCTCCGGTTCACCCTGCAGAGGTCGCAGCTGATCCGAGAGACACAGACTGGCTCTTTTCTTGAATACTGTTACGTGTGTGGGATGCACAGGTTCAAGGTCATGACTAGGCTGATCACGTCATGGGCGCGCATGTAACTATTTTGTGTCTGAGTGAAGCCTTAGGACCTCAGTCTGTTTTGGGGGGTTTTCTTTGGTTGACATGTTGTTTCCTTGCACGTGTGGCAACTTTTTAGCGTGAGCCCATGTTTGTCTCACTCTGAGGCCCGCCTCGGACCCGCCAGCTCCTCCGGACCGCCTCCAGCGCTCCTGCCTCCGTGGGGCGCCGTGGGCCCGGCCCCTGGCTCCCGGGCCCTCGGCCCAGCCCTGCGTCCTCCTGCCCCGCACTCACCGCCACCTTCTGCGCGGTCCCCTCTCTTGCTCGGAGGCTCAGCTCTCGGCTGCAGAGCGTTGGTGCCGTGTGTCTGGGATCCAGAGCGAAGTGTCCCCCTTCGTGCGGCAGCCCTGGCGGGGGTGGGGGCATGTGGCCTCGCAGAGCAGACGTGAAGTGTCACCCATCGTCCCACGGGGCAGGGCCCGGGGTGGTCAGCCCCGACTGCGGGCCTGGACCCGGACTGACCCCAAGGTTTCTGGCCTTCCGGCCCATGTCTCCTTTCTCTGGGAAACGCATGCGGAGCCGTCCCCGCGCTACTGCAGCGTCTGGGGACAGGGGCAGAGGGACCTCTTGCCTTCTGTGCTGCGGCTGGAGGACTGTTTGCGAGTGGTCTCCGGGTCACTGTCACCGAGTCCAGCGCATCAAGGGGGCCTGCAGGGGGGGCCCCTCGGGGCTCCGGGCTGCACTTGGCTGTGCGCTCCCTGCGCGGGGCGCTGCGGCCCGGTCACGGCAGAGCTGTCGCGTGGCGCCGAGCGTGGCACAGGTGTGCGTTCCGGTGGGAATTGGAGGGACAGCTCCATGGGCGTGTGGACACCACGGCTCTGCTCGGGGTCCCGTGCGACCTGTGGCCTGCGCTCCTTCCTCATCAGAGGCCGTGCGCCCGCCTCTAGCCTGGGAAGCAGCCGGCGCTCGCTGCGGGCGGCCCTCCTTGCGGGCATCCACGGGCGAGCGAGCGACCGGGGCTGTGGACAGCGACCGGGGCTGCGGTGCCGTGGGTCCTGGGTGTCACGGGCTGTGCCCCCCGCTTCCGCGGGCGCCCGCGGCTTCAGGAAGGCGTCTGGCTGGGCGCGTGGGTGTCGGCGCCCCCGTTCGCAGCAGAAGTCTGCTCCCGTGGAGCCCCGTGTGTCAGAGCCCCCGTGTGTCACAGACGCAGCGCGGGCGGCGTCACGTGGGGTCGGTGCTCGGGGTCGGGCAGCAGCGCCCCCACGGCGAGGGGCTCGCCTCCTGCTGAGCTTTCCGGCGCACTGCTGGAGTGTGGCCCTGAAGTGGCCTGCTGGCGGGTGCCCGCGTTCCCGAGCCCTGCCCTGAGCTGGCGGGGGCGGTTGGTGTCTCATCTAGCTGCGGCCTGTCCTGGCCCCGCTCCCTTCGAGGTCGGCCTCTGGGTCTCCTGTTCTGAGTCCGTGGGCGTCTGAGGAGGTCACCGGCTTACGTTGACAGTGTCACAGCCTCACGGCTGTGTCCCCTCACCCCTCCAGGCTGCACTCTGCTCAGGAGTCGCTGGGTGGGTGCCAGGCCCCGCGCCAGGAGGAGAAAGGCGGCCCGTCCCTGTGCTCGGGACCCTCACGGCCTGCGGAGAGGGCCGGAACGTGCTCCTTGTACAGACCAGAACACCGTGACGGGTCCCCGGGGAAGTGACAGGGGCGGAGCGGAGGAGCGGCGGGCAGCTCCTCGGGGGCGGCCCTGCGGGGACAGGGCTTGGGAGGGTCAGCGAGAGCTCTCTGGGCCCTTGTGGGTGGTGGGTCCAGGCTCTCAGCCCGGCCTTCCCGGCTGTGTCTGGGTGGGTGGCGCTCGGGAAGTCCCTGAGGCGCTGCGGAGCCCCCTCCCAGCGTGGGCGCCGCGGTGGGGGGCTGCGGTCCTCCCTGGTCAGGCGTCCCTGTGCCTCCCTCGCAGACCGTCTTCAGGGTAAGAGCCCTTCCGTTTGGTCACCTTCCCCGGCGTCCTCTCAGCGCAGCAGCTCTCAGTGTGTCTCTGCCTGTGGGCGGGCAGGGCCCTTCCCTCTTGGCCCCGGTCCACGCAGCATGGCCGCCTCGGGCTCCCGCCTTCCCCCGGGGGCTACTCCAGACCGGCTTCCTGCTCTCCAGTTCCGAGAGCTCGTCCCGCCTCGCCCCGCACCCGTGCCTCCCCGAGCCCAGTCAGGCCTGACTGGGGCGACTGCCCGCTCCACTGCGCCGTGGGAGGGCGCCGGCCCAAGCCCGGGGCGGGCCGTGCGTGGGGCCGCAGTGTGGCCCGGGCACAGTGGTCCGCTGCGGCGCTCGCTGAGGGCTGACGGGGGCCGCGCAGCGTGCCGCCCCGCTGACGCGCGTTGCCTGATGCGAGCCCTGCCGCCCCGGAGGTGGGTGACTCTGTGTTCTGGAGGAGGGGACTGCAGCCCAGGGGGAGGGGCGGTTTGCCGGAGGTCACACAGCTGGCGCAGGGGAGAGGCGCCCTCTGAACCCCTCCGTCTGCAGCCCAAAGGCTGGGAGTGGGGCCAGAGTGCACGTGCAGCCCCGGTCCTGAGCACCTGCCGGGGCGGAGCCCCAGACGGCCCTTCCCAGCTCAGCGCCCAGTCGGGCCTGGCCGTGGCCCGAGAGCTCCGGCCTCCTCCCGCCCTCCGCATTGTCACCTCTCCTCCCCCCCAGCGGCCTCAGTGCCGTCGTTTCCCCACCCCCGCCCCAGGCTGGCCTCTGCTCTCCCCCAGCCAGGTCACCTCGCCCGGTGCTGCGGCCCTTGGCGGCACCCAGCCCTCGGGTGACAGAGGCGGGGCACAAAGTCCCCTGTCATGTGGCCCCTGCAGCCCGTCAGCCTAGGACACACACCCGTGGTCACAGACCGTCTCCGTGTCTCCGTGCCCCGCCCCCCATCTTCCCCCCCGCCCCTCGCTTCAGCTGGGCCCCCAGGGTTCTGCCAAACAAACCATCATCTGCTCTGGGGTGGGGTGGGGGGGGCCCTCCTGAAGTCACGAGAGTGCACGGCACTCGTCGCCTGCCGGTGTCTCGGAGGTGGCACGCCGCGGTGCGGTTCCACGCCCAGGCTGGTCGCTCCCTGGGGGCTGCACCTGGGCGCGGGCCCGCCAGGGAAGGTCGGGGGCAGGGCAGCGGCGGGGATCCCGGTGGCCCGCTCCCTCACGACGCGCACAGAACTTGGGGGCGCTCGTCGGATCAGTGGGTAGTTTTGAGTGCGGTCAGTGCCGACGGGGGAGGCCCGTGTCCCGGTGTGAGTGTGGAGGGGTGAGGACGGAGTCAGTGGGGGCTTCTCCGAGGAAGAGGCGCCGGGGCCTGAAAGGTGAGCCTCAGCCGGTGGGCCCCGAGCTGCGGTCAGCACGCCCAGAACACGCGCTCGGCATGCGGGGACTTCCAGGCCGGGGAGGAGCTGGGGGTCTGAGGACTGAGGGAGGCCAGTGTGCGCAGCGGTGACTCAGGGAGCAGGACAGGCCCGGCCCAGCAGCGAGTCCCCGGGGCGTGGGTGGAGGCTGGGTGGCGGGCGGGGGCGGGAGGATGCTCGGCTCCCTCCCCCCGACAAGGGCCTTCCTTGCTGGGGGCTTCCAGCAGCACGAAATGCCTAGCTCCCCCCGCGCCCCACCCCCCGGAATCTGCCTTCTGCCCCCACTTGAGAGCACCGCTGAAGACTTTTGCCGTTCCTTATCACAGATTCTAGAGTCGACTTTTTAGCAGTGATCATTACAATGTCAAGTTTAAGCGGGACGGGGGAGTGGTGCTAACCCTCACTGAGCATCAGGCCTGCGCGGCAGAGTCCCCGAGGCGTCAGCTGCTTGCAGAGTCTCCGTCTGGGTCAAGTCTGGCTGAGCCGGGTCCCACCAGGGCGCCGCTCACCGCAGGCCCGTCCCTCGAGGTTTCCGGGCATACCGTGTCTGTCTGTCTGGCTTCACTGCGCAGGTAAACCGAGTGTTGACTTTGATATGTGATTGGAACTTTTTTTTTGTAGGCTTTACCGCCAGCACCTGTTCAGAATCACACGAATAAGCATCAGGTATTCAATGCATCTCTTCAAGACCATATTTACCCGAGCTGCTTTGGGACTGCTCCAGAGTGGAACAGTTCTAAGTTTATAAGTCTTTGGGGATCAGAAGTGATGAATGATAAGAACTGGAGTCCTGGCACTTTCTTGCCAGATACAATTTCTGGTAAGGAACCTGTTAAAACCTCATTCCAGTTTCGCAGCGGTCCGAGCGGAGCGGGGGGCCGTCTGCGGCTGTGGTCTCCCCTGGAAGCCCCGGCGGGGCGGGTCCCTGGTGCAGCCGTGCCCGGGCTACTGCTCCCCTGCCCCGTCTCCCGCGGGCGGCCCCCCCACCCCTGCAGGTGGGTCCCAGCCTCTGGTGGGCGGGGCTCCGGGCCGCTGGCCAGCAGAGCAGGCCACACCGGCAGCCCGTCTGGGGCCTCAGCTGCCCCCGTGCCGCCGAGTGTGTCGCGTGCAGGGCTTGGTGTGCGGCCCGCGGTTCTCAGGCGGTGGCGACAGCCAGACCTCGGCCCAGTGCACGCACGGGCGGGGCCGCAGGCCGCAGTCGGCTGGCGTGTCGTGACCCTTCCCCTCTCTGCCTCTGCGTTGACCCTCCCTGGGGCCTGTGCTGTGGACAAGCCCGTCCTCCCAGCTGGGGAGGCGCGGCTGTTACCGCAGCAGCCGGGCCCCTGTCGGGGGTGGTCCCACGCCCAGCCCCTGCATGTGGTCAGAACAGCAAGCTAGACTGGACGCCTGGTCTGTGCCTGGGAAGGGGTCCCAGCTGTGTGACCTTGGGCAGATTGCTGGGCTCCTCTGAGCCCGAGTGTCCTCCCCTTCAGGGCGGGAACAGTAGCTCCCAGCGCAGACAGCAGTGGTGAGGCGTCACGTGGCCCTCGGGGAGCCGGGCACCGGCACCGGCACCGGCACCCGGCGGTGCTCGCGAGGTTTCCTCGCGTAAACGGGTGGGGCGGCCCCCGCGGGGCCCTCGCTTCCCAGCAGCCCCGGAGCTGGGAGTGGACCCTTCAGACCCCCTTCGGGCTGGAGCAGGAGGGTGTTTCTCGTAGAAGCCTGACGTCCCCTTTCTTCCCTCGAGGCGGGGACGTGCTCGGGCCGACGCTCTCGGAGACGAGACTGGACGCCCTCCCGCCTCCGGTGAGCAACGGCGCGCCTGCGGCTTTGGACTGTAAGGAGAAGAACATTGCTGCAAAGAAGAAATGTTTGTACAATTTCCAAGATGCTTTCATGGAAGCAAACAAAGTGGTGATGGCCACCTCGTCTGCCACCTCCTCCGTGTCCTGCACGGCCACCACGGTGCAGTCGAGCAACAGCCAGTTCAAGGTGTCGTCCAAGAGGCCTCCGTCCATAGGTGAGGCACAGCTGGCGGCCCTCGGGCGGGCTCGGGGCTCACCGCCCTCTGTAACGGCCCTTCCGGGCCCGGTGTTCACGCCCCAGACCACACCACTGTCCCAGCCCCGTCCTCTGGGGCTCGGCCTCGCAGGCCCTGCTCTTCGCCTCTGCCCCTGCGGGGGTGAGCCAGAGGCGGGTCGCTGGGCCTCTGGAAGCAGCGTGGGGGGGCGGGCCTGCAGGGGCCGCCAGACTCTGGCCTCTGAGCGCGGCGCCGCGAGCCTGGCAGCGGGGGTGTTGTCAGCCGGGGGCCGACGTCAGGGGCTCGGGAGCGGGCTCGTGGGGGCCCGGGCTTGTGGAGACCAGTGGGACGGACAGCTCGGAGTGCGGCCGCCGTCGGCAGTCTGGGTGCTCGGGGCGGGGGGGGCGCCGGGGTCTTCCTGGCGGGCGGTGAGAAGCTCCCGTGGCCCGTCGTGAGAGCAGAGCGACAGAAGCAGGAAGGCTCCTGAGCCAGCAGGTTGGCGGCCGCCCAGGTGTGCACATGCAGTGAGTGCTGAGGGCCGCGGAGTCCGCGTGGGGGAGGCAGTCCCCTCTGCGTGGGAGCAGCACCCACGGGTGATTGGCAGGCCACTCCCTGCACTGCACACCTGGCCGGATGTCAGCGCGCCACCTCAGGACAAGCTGACAGTGGGTGCTCTCTGGGCCGGAGGCAGACCGGGTGCAGCAGGACGTGGGCAGGACCGGAGCCCGTGGCACTCCAGCTCAGCCTGGAGCAGGACCCGCGGTCCAGGCTGGTGGGCGGCTGGGGGCTGGACCGCGGGGGGGCGGGGGCTGCAAGGACGTGTGGGAGATGGACCCCTGAGGGGTGGGCACCCACTGCGTGCGCCGCGGCAGGGCGGTCACAGCGCCACACGCCTGCTCTCAGGGGCTCCTGCCAGAGCGTTTCAGGGGTGCGTGTGAGAGGTAGAGGGCTCAGGACAGGATGTCAGCTGGTGACGGGCCGGGGGTGGGGGTGGGGGGGTGCTGGGTGTTCTTTGTGCTGGGTCCTCCGACTTTCTCAGATTTGAACCTTTCGAGACGGACGGACGGAGTTGGTGGGTGGGCGGTCTCGGCGGGGGGGAGCAGGAGCGCGTGTGCGGCTCAGCCGTCGGGACGCCGTCTCCCCGCAGGCGAGGTCTTCCACGGCATCGGCAAGGAGGAGCACCGGCACGCCGTGCCCGCCGCCCCGAGGAGCAGCCCCACGGGCCTGGCCCCGCTCCCCGCGCTCGCCCCCGCCACCCTCTCTCCGGCCCCCACGCCTCACCTGGGGAACCTCGCAGCCCCCGCCTTCCCCAAACCTGCGGCCCCGTCCCCGGGGTTTGGGGATTCGCGCAAGAGCTTCTGTCCTGCTTCAGCGGCACCCCCACCCCCCCCCGCGGACGGCTCCGTCAGTGCACCTCCAAGTGTCTGCAGGTGAGTCCGGGCCCTGGCGGCGAAGGCCAGGGCGTTTTGGAAACGGGGTGCCATGCCCCCTAACACCAGGGCACAGCGGCCGTGGGAACCCCATCGCCAGGGTTGTGTGGCTGACGGCCAGTGAGAGGGGGTGGGGGGGGCCCTGTCAGAGGCTGAGGTCTGGGCGGAGCTGGGCACCACCCCCCGCTGGTGTGCAGGCCCCGCCCAACCCTGACAGCATGGGGTCGGGCCCTGGGGGGTTTCAGTTGTGTCTGTCGCACATTAAACTAAGTACAGCAGTACAAGACTGTCCCTGTCCCTCAACAGTTTTCTTTTTTAAGACGGTGTTTGTTACCTTTGACCTTGTCTGTTAGAAGCCACCACCACCACAACCACCACCACCCCCCCACCCCCCCCACACTCCCCCCAGGATGAAGTGGTGGCGCGGGGCAGTGGAGAGACCGCGTGCCCGACGGGGCCTCTAGGGGTGACCGCCCGCCACCCCTGCCGCCTCGCCCGGCCACCCCCGCCTTCCCCGACTCCTGGGAGCCCCCCCTCCCTGCGGGCCTTGCGCTCCCCTCGGGCGGGAGGGGCAGAGCCCGCGGGCGGGCGCGCGCTGACGGCCCCTGCGCCCCCGCAGCGACCCCGACTGCGAAGGGCACCGCTGCGAGAACGGCGCGTACGACCCGCAGCAGGACGAGGGGGACGAGAGCGCCGACGAGGACAGCTGCTCGGAGCACAGCTCCAGCACGTCCACCTCCACCAACCAGAAGGAGGGCAAGTACTGTGACTGCTGCTACTGTGAATTCTTCGGGCACGGCGGGGTGAGTGCTCAGCCGGCCTCCGCGTGCCTCCGCGTCCGCGCGCCAGCCCGGGGCGGGCGGCCTTCGGGCTGTGGCTGGTGGTGTGGACGCTTCACCCGCAGCCCCGCCCACGCCAGGGCCTGGTTCAAAACCACGCTCGCACGTCCAGGCTGTCCGCGCCCGAGGCTGCGATGGGAAGACCTGCCCAGAGGCGTGGCTGTGAGGGCTTCGGCGCAGCCTTGGTGCGCGCTTGGGAGTCGACTGCAGTCAGCTGGGTGGGGCCCGGCTCGGCAGCGGGGGGAGGCCAGACCGGAAGCCGCCGCATGGGACGCCGGCAGAGCATGTGCGGCCGCTGCCCCTCCTCCTCGCGCCGAGGGACCTGGCACGCGGGCGTTCCCACGTCTTGTGGAACAGCCACCTGGCCCCCGAGGAGACGCCGGCCCTGGTGCCGCGGCGGCCGTGGGAGAAGTGGGTGTTGTTCTGTCGCCGCAGCTCTGCCCGTGTCCCCTGCGCCGTGCGCCCGTGCGCCTGTGCGCGGCGGCCACTCAGGAGCCCCGGTGGGGCCGGGGCGACTGGTTCCTGTCGGCACCGGAGAGGAGCCTGCAGACGGGCGAAGAGGGGCCCGGACTCCCTCACTGGCGGGAAGGGACCACCGCACTGCACCGCGTGGAGAGCAGATTAATCAGCGTGTGCAACTGTTCCTTTTCAGCTTAAAAACACTTATTTTTGTACATGAGTGTACATACTTTTAGCTGTTTTATGAATGTATACGTTTTCTTGCCAGTTGTTTCTCTTATTTCCTTATTTTTCATGGTAAGCGTGTATTTGAATAATAAGAAAAATTTATTTTTAGAACTAGTCTGAAGTTTACGTTCAACGTTATTAAGACTTGAAGCTTATAGTTTAGTCATGTTCTTTTTTTATTATCGTAGCCCCCCGCTGCACCAACAAGTAGAAATTACGCAGAAATGAGAGAGAAGCTTCGCTTGCGGCTGACGAAGAGGAAGGAGGAGCAGCCGAAGAAGGCCGGCCAGCTGCCGGAGCGCGAGAGCGTGGTGGACCACCGCCGGGTGGAGGACCTGCTGCGCTTCATCAACAGCTCCGAGACCAAGCCCGTGAGCAGCTCGCGGGCCGCCAAGCGGGCGCGGCACAAGCAGAGAAAGGTAGCCCGCGCCTGTGTCCGCGCTCGCCTCTGCTTCCCTGCGGCCGGGGCCTCGGGGCCGGGAGCTCCCACACTGGCCGGCGGCATCGGTGGGCCTGCACAGGCCTTCAGGCCGTCGTGCTGGCCAGCGTGGGGGGCAGAGCCTCCGCCTCTGCACCCAGGGAAGCAGAGGGAGAGGGCGACGGCGGTGGGCTTTTGGAGACAGTGGTGGAGTGACCTTGCCCGGGGGCGGGCACTGTGGACGGTGCGGGGCCGTCCCACCCCCGCACAGGGCTGGGACGGCACAGGAGCAGGCTTGCCCGGCTGCAGGCCGTGACAGGACTCGGCCTGTGGCCCGGCCAGTGCGCAGAGCGCTCTGAGACAGCAGCCGACTGAGGGACCGTGGCCGACCCCTCGGTGCTCCTGGGGGTTCCCCGCAGAGCCCTGTGCCTCAGCAGGTCCAGACGTCCTCCTAGGTGCAGCCACCTCAGGGTGTCAGCTTCGGAGTCTGCCCTCGGCGGGCAGATCTGGGCTGACGGAGGGAACGTGGAAAGCTGGAGGGCTCTGGCCGCAGGGAGGGCGGCCCGCTGGGGCGGACAGTGCCCGCCCTGCGACTGCACCGTGGCAGGGGGTTCTCCGCGCGTCGTGGTTGCTCTCTTCAGTGGCGTGTCCGTCCAGACCCTGCCGGTGCCGCAGTCCTAAAATAGGGCTGCTCTGGCTCTCGGGGCTGATTAGGGACTTGGGGGGAGACCTGTTCTGCCCTCCGAAGACCTGGTTTGCAGAGCCCCACAGGAGTGGGGAGAAGGAGGCATGCTCTCCATCCAGAGGTGTTCACAGCGCCAGGGGCCCCAGGGTGGACCCCAGGCCTGGAGATGTCCCCGTGGAGTTACTAGAAGCCCCCGGATCGCCTCAGACGCTTTCCAGGGCACTCGCCGCCCTGGTCTCCTGGCCTCTGTGCTTGTGAGCCGGTCTGGGTCCAGCCCCGATGCCCCAGCCCCTCGGGCTCAGCACGGTCAGTCACCCTTAGCATCCACTCACGCCCTGTGCTCTCTACCAAGCACCCCGTCTCACCAAGTTCCCCCCCTACACACCAGCTCTGTCTCATTGGTGGACTGGTGGTCGGCACAAAGACCGTCGTGAGTCCGCTGTGGGTGCCAGCCTCTGGCGGGCCTGCCCGCAGCCCTGAGCGGCACAGGGCCCCCCGACCCCGCCGCCACGGGGGCTTCCCCTCAGGGGGCGCAGCACGGGCTGCCGGTCGCTTCCAGGGCATCGTGAGGTTTCGTTTCTGAAAACCTCTCGTTAGGTTTCTGACGTAGTTTTGTATTTAATTTCTTCAAAAAAACAAAAACAAAAGAACAAGTAAACCATGTCTTAGAAAGAACGCCTGCTGAGATACGGTGGAAAGGAACGGAGCCGTGGGAGGACCTCCGTGTCCCCGTGCAGGTCGTTTTTGCCAGAGCTGCTTCCGGGCACCAGCCCCCGGCTGGGCCAGTGAGGGGGCTAGGCCCCACTCTGGGGACTTGGGTCTGTTTTCTGAGCAGAAGTTACAGCGTCCTTCACGCCCCCGGGTGGGGGTCCCCGAGGAAAGCCCGTTTCCCACCGCTCACCCAGCAGAGCCCGTCCTGGCCTCTCTGCCCTGCAGCGTCGCAGGGAGTCTGGTGACAGCAGGCGGCGAGTCTCACTGACCTGCCCGGAGGGGGGGGGGGGTCACGTTTTCTGTGCACGTTTCCTCATTTCCTGTTCACACACCCCGGAAGGTGCGCGCGGGGCACCGTCAGCCTGCCCTCGGCTCTGTCACCCCCGCCACCAGGGCACTGGGGGGCAGCCGCTTCCACCTGCTTGTACTTGCCCGGCGCTAGGTCGATGGCCGTAGTTTTTTAGCTGCCCCCTTCCCCAGATAAAGTGAGTGTGTGTGCAAAGTACCTGGGACACACGTTTCGATGAGAGCTTTTGGCTTACCTGCGCTCTTGGGGTTCGTGTCCTCATCTCGCGGCCCGTCTCAGGAGCCCCTCGCGCGCGTCCGTCCTCGGGGCGCTTCCCCGGCCTCAGCCGCCCTCTCTTCTCTCCGCAGCTGGAGGAGAAGGCGCGCCTCGAGGAGGAGGCCCGGGCCCGGGAGCACGCCCACGCCCACGCCCATGAGGAGCAGCGGCCGGCGCCAGAGGAGGACGCGCGGCTGGCGGAGGAGCTCCGGCGGCTGCAGGAGCTGCAGAAGCTCCGAGCCGTGAAGAAGAAGAAGAAGGAGCGGCCGGCTAAAGACTGTCCCAAGTTGGACGTGCTGGCGGGGACTCTGCAGGCGGCGGCGGGGCCAGGGCCCGACCCCGTGCACTTGCACAACGGCTCCCTGGGGCCGGCCGAAGAGCGGGAGCCCTCCCCACCCTCCCCGCCCAGACGCAGCGCCCACCCAGAGCCCGGGCTGGGCACGGACGGCGACTCGGCGGACCCCAGGGACTCCACGCTTCTCCTGCCCGAGGGGGTCGGCGGGAAGCAGCAGGAGCCGCTGTCCTTTCTGCTGGACATCATGCGTCACCACAAGGCGGGGACCGGCAAACAGAAGCCGAAACAGGCTGGGAAGGCGGGCAGCGAGCCGGGCGGGAGGCCCACAGAGCCCCCCAGGCCTTCGGAGGGCCAGCCCAGACCCCGGCCGCAGACTGAGCCGAAGGTGAAAGCGCTGGACCTCAGCCCCCCGGTGGAGCCGAAGAGAGAGGAGAGGAAAGCCAACAGCAACAACAACAACAAGAAGCAGCTGAACCACGTCAAGGAGGGGAAGGCGAGCCCGGGCCCCACAGAGCCGGCCTGCGCCGGCGAGCACCCGCCGGGCAGCAAGCTGGTGCTGGCCGACTCGCCCCAGCCCAGGGGCAAGAGCAAGAAGGGCCGGAAGAAGAAGGGGGACAGAGCCGGCAGCTCTCTCGGTAAATGGGAGTGGGCGGGCGTCGGCGTGGCCGGGGCCTGCGGTTCGGAGTCGGGAGCGAGAGGAGCCGCGCGCTTGTCTGGTCCCGGTCCGTGCGCCCGCAGACGGCACGCTGCCCCCACCAGCACGGGGACAGAGAGCCGTTGCTGTCCTGTCTTGTCGTCTTGAAATAACTTTGGGTTTCCCTAAAAGATGCGGAAAGAGTGCAGGAACGCCTGCGCCCTCCGGGTCCCCAGACCAGCCTCGTTCCGCCTGGCGTCCCCGCGCTCTCCCCGTCCTGAGCCAGGCGAGGGGCGCACCCGCGGTGAGGCCCCTCCTCCCGGAACACCTCCGAGTGTGTTTCCTCACCACGAGGCCGTCTGCAGGGCCACCGCCCGGGCGGCCGCACCCTCCGAGTGGCACAGTGCAGTGGGGTCAGAGCGGCTCCAGCCTGGCCGTGCGCCCTCCGCATGCAGCCAGGATCGGGGGCCGCGCGGGGCCGTGGCACCGAGGCGGTGCGGGCGCGGGTCCTCGTGAGCCACGGGGGCGAGACTCCTGCCGCCACCGGCACCGCCCTCGGGCTGAGGTGGCGGCCGCCCAGTCGGCCCCTCTCCACTGTCCAGGGAGCACCTGCATGTCCCACGGGCGGGCAGACTCCTCTTTCTTTAGATTTCTTTGTTTTTTCCTCTTTTTTTATGGTGCACCTCTAGTGTCAGCGTTCACTGACGGTTCTTGCTCAACACGGCTGTTACTGCGCTGTCCCCAAACGGTGGCCTCTCCTGCACGCTTCCTGCTGCGTTTCTGAGATGGCCTTCTGTGAGAAGAGCCCCCCCCCCCACGTTTCTGTCACGCGTGGGGTCACCCCCGTGAGGGACCTCGGGTTGCTGCTCACTCGGGGCCCCGGCCAGCCCAGACCCCGCCCCGCCCCCCGGGCCTGGTCTCCAGCCTTGTTCGTGGGCCCCTTTCCCACCTTCCGGCCCAGTTAGGCGTCCCAGGTTCGTTCTGCACCATCCCCGTGCTGGCCGTGTCCCCGTGCCGGCCGCTGGTCGGCCCGCCCTCCGAGGAGCCCTCGTCCGTTTGAGGGGAGGGGCCCTGGGGAGGCAGGCCTGGTTGTGCCTGCCGCAGCCTCGGGCACAGGTGCCACGGACAGCAGGGCGGGGCGGGGGGTGTTTCTGTGCCGCGCTCCTGGAGCGAGGAGCCCGAGCTCACCCGACAGCGCCAGGCTCCCAGCACCCCCCCCCCACCCCCCGCGTCTGCGGCTCTTGCACAGGCCTGTCCCGTGGGCCTGTGGCCCGTGGCGGTCAGCCTGCGGGATGCGGGCGGTGCTCACAGTGCCCCTCGGGCAGGGACGGTGCTCGGGGGAGCACGGAGGTCCCTTGCTCTCGGTCTGTGTCCGAGCTGTGTTTCTCCGCCGCCTTGCTCCCACCCGCCTCCTGCGCACACCGGCTTCCCCTCGGCTTTCCCTTCGTGCACAGAGCGGGGCGGGCCAGGGCGCCTCTCCCCTTGCTTCCCCGCTCCCTGTGCTCGGGAGGTCACGTGGTGTCCGTTGTTAGAGCTGGTCCTCTGGGTTTGTCAGGGTGGGGCGCTCCATCTGAAATCACCCATCGCCGTGGGTGGCAGTTGTGGCTCCGTTAGCCACAAGGTCGCCCCGTAGAAAGGTTGCAGGTTCGACTCCCGGCCAGGGCACAGGCCCAGGTTACAGGTTTGAGTTGCGGTCCAGTGCGTTTGAGAAGGTAACCGATTAGTGACTCTGCCTCTCTCTTCCCGTTCCCTCCTGTTAAAAAAAATATATTTACTTTTAGGGAGAGGGGAAGGGAAAGAGAAAAAGAAGAAAAGAAATTATTCACTTATTTTTAGAGAGGGTAAGGAAGAGAAGAGAAACATCAGTGTGTGGCTGCCTCTCACGCGCCCCCTACTGGGGGCCTGGCCCACAACCCAGGCCTGTGCCCTGACTGGGAATCTAGCTGGCGACCCCTCAGTGCACAGCCTTCAGGCCGCAAGCCGGCGCCCAACCCACTGAGTCGCACCAGCCAGGGCTTTCCTCCGTCTCTAGGGGTCTCTGGCGCATCAGCACCACTGGCCTCGTAGCTGCGCCGCACGCTACAGGCGGTTTCCCAGCCACGGGCTGGCTGTGAACTGAGCTGCCGCTGCAGGCGCAGGGCTGTCATCGTTTTCACGTGCACGTAGTCAGCCCGCGGGTCTGTCATTGCCTCCGGGCTTCGCCCAGCTGTGAGAAAGCGTCCCCTAACCTAAGGGTGGAGAGGGGCATGCCACATTTTCTCCTGGCATCTGGGTGGTTCGGTTTCTCCCTTCCATTCCCGTCCCCTGCTGCTCAGTCCCGGCCGTCACGGCACGGGCTGTCCCCCTCACAGCGGGCGTTCTCCGTGTGCCCCCCGCCGACCTCCCATGCTTCCGACCCCGTGGGGGCTCCCCAAGAAAAGGCCTGGGGCGCCTGCACGGGGCGACTGTGATCTCACGAGCTGACGGGGTCTGCAGAGCGCTGGCTGCCCTGCCCGGGGACAGGAGGCCCCTCCGCCTGTTGAGGGTGGCTTCCTGCAGACGCACCCTGGGGGTGCCTTCGGTCTTGTCTCCCGGGCCTTTCCGCTTTTCTCCTCACCGCGGTCGTTTCAGGGCCTCGCGTCCCCTCGTCCTCTCCTTCCCCCGCGCGCTGGCGCGTGCTCCGCCGTCAGGCCTTCCGCGGCACTTGCCACCCCGCACGGTGGCCTCCAGTCCCACGACCCTGCCAGGCACTTGGGCTGGGGCCCGTCCCAGCCGAGGGGCATGAGTGTGCTGTCCACGCTGGCCTGGGAGCGCGGGGAAGGAGCGTGCGGTGCTCGCGTGTTTCGTTTAGTGCCGACTGCGCACGGGAGCCGTGGTTCGGGGGTGCGTCTGACTGGGTCACGTGTGTGTCGCTGGAGCTAACCAACCCTGTGGCCCCCGGAGGCCGGGACGCCCATGCTGGGTTCTTCCGGCCGGCCCCGCCCTGGCGGGTTGTCTGCGTGTCGGCGAGCTCCCGGTGTCGGGCCCGTGGGCTGTTCCTTTGTCCCCGTGAGGTGTCCCCCTTCCTTGCTCTCTGCCCTAGGAGTCTTCGCTTTCCGGTGTCTCGTGCCAGCGTCCACGCTGGTTTCCCCGCACTCCCTGTGACGCCGGCGTCACTTGTGGCAGCAGACCGGGAGTGGCTGTCCCTCCTCTGTCCCTTCCCTCCCCGCCGTCAGGGCGGCGGGCTGGTGGGGTGGGGCTCCTGGGCACCTGTCCTCCGGCGCAGGCCTGGAATCCCCAGGGCTCTGGCCAGGGCAGTGGAGGGCCAGCTGGCTGGGCACGAGGCTCGCGGGTTGCGCTTGTTGTCCTCGAGGGCCAGTGCGGCTCAGTTGTCCCCCGGCGTCGAGTCTGGTTGGAGTGCCTTCTGGTTTCCGGCTGTCGGTCCGGCTGTCCTCCTGACCGGTCAGAGAGGGGCACTCGAGAGGGACCCGCCTGCCGCCCGCCCTGGGCTCGCTCTGCCGCCGAAGCTCCTCCGTGTCGGCCCACATGCAGCAGCTGGACCTGGGCTGTGGGGGCCTCCTTTACACCCACAAGCCCCCCCACACCCTGGCGCCCTCCTCTTGGCCTCAGTCCGCAGACGCCAGGCGAGGCCCCGCGCGGCCGTCCTGGTGGCCAGCGAGGAGGGCCGGGCCACAGGAGCAGGGTGGCTGCGTGGGGCGTGGGGCGTGCGGTCGTGAGGACGCATGCAGTCTGGGTCCCGGTGGGCGCTCGGAGGCCGGGGGGCCCGGCCCCAAAGCAGTCGCAGTGGGATCGGGATGGGGGTCCTGCAAGGCCTGGCAGAAGGTGCCAGCGGGGCAGAAGGGGTGAGGTGCGCATGAGGAAGGCGGTGGGGAGGGTCACTTCCAGGTCGCTGTCAGGAAGGGAGCGGCTTGCAGCAGGTCGGTGGGGGGGACCCTATGCCTGTGCCTGTGCTGGGGGTCAGGATGCTGGAGGGTGGGTGTGCGGAGGAGGCAGCCATGTGGGCGGAGCTCAGGACAGAGTTCTGGGCGGGGGTGGGGTTGGTGGCATGGTGTCCGGGGGTGGTAGAGAGGACAGGGACCTGGCAGAGGCCAGAGGGCGGGAGCGCTGTCCCGCGTGAGGGGCCACGGTCCGGTGGTCGTGCCGGGCCTCAGGGTGCACGCAGGCGTTGAGGGTCCTCCCCCTAGTGCCGTGTGCCACTTGGAGACAGACACCCGGTGGCGGGAGGAAAGAGGGTGCTCCTTGACTGGCGGTTCCGACCAAGGCCCGCGGGCGGGAGTCCGCAGAGGGAGAGCCCTGATTTCTGGTCGGAGCAGCCTGCAGAGTCCTCGGTGACATCTCTGGGTGCTGGGCGTGCGGCCAGCCGCCAGGGGAGCCGTCTGCCTGTGCCGCTGCTGTCTGGGTCCGGTGGCGGTCGTGTCCTCTAACCGGGGGAGGGAGGGCACTGGAAGGGACAGCACTGTCCATCCCACGGGGACGGCCTTCTGGTGGCAGCTGCTGAGAGCCGTGCCCTGCCCCCTCCTTCCCTCCAGCAAGCGCAGGGGACGGCCTCTGGGCTGGCATGCGGCATGGGTTTCGGAACTTCTCAGGCCTCTCCCGTCATGGAGACCTGCCGGTGACTGACGGCTCACGTGGGGGTCGGGTGCCAGCAAAGTCAGCGTGTGAAGCTGTTGCACTTGAGTCAGTTTGGAGTTCTCTTGTTAAAGGGCTGCTCTGACCCTCTGACGGGCCTGTCTCCATTCACCCCACAGACGACGTGTTTCTGCCCAAGGACATCGACCTGGACAGCGTGGACATGGATGAGACGGAGCGGGAAGTGGAGCACTTCAAAAGGTCAGCGCTGGGTCGGCGCCGTGTCTGAGGCGCAGTGCTCGCAGGGTCCTCCAACAGGGTCCCTCTGTGGCTGTGGCTGTGGCGGTGGCTCGGGCAGCAGCTCTGCGGCCAGACAGCCAGCCTGCCCCGCACGGCCCACCCACACCTCCCACACACACCGACCGCCCCACCCTCACTCCGGCTCACGCCCCCCTCCCCCACATGCGTGAAGACTGGCAGGCGGCAGCGGTCCTCAGAGTGGTCCCGGCCCTGCAGCGCAGCCTGGGGAGGGCCCGGATCTACTCTCAGGGCCCCGGGGGTCCGATGTGCGCTGGCGTCAGGGCGCAGGGACACTTGGAAGGAGAAGAGGGCTGTGTTCGGGAACGTTCTGCCCCTCCGTGAAGTAGGGCCAAACAAGTCCATTTTAGGCCCCTCGTGCGTTCTCCGGAGGACCTGCAGCCCCTGTCTCAGACGCACAGACCCCCGGACAGGAGGCTGCCACGCCTCTCCGTCTGCACACTGACGCGCCGCTTCGGGAACCGGGGTGTGTCGTGCGGTGTGTGTGTCTGTGTGTGTGTGAGAGAGAGAGAGACACGTGCGTGTGACTGTGTGTGTGTGTGTGTGTGTGAGAGAGACACGTGTGTGTGAGAGAGACACGTGCGTGTGACTGTGTGTGAGAGACACGTGTGTGTGTGAGAGAGACATGTGTGTGAGAGAAAGACGTGTGTGTGACTGTGAGACACGTGTGTGAGAGACACGTGTGTGTGTGTGAGAGAGAGAGACACGTGTGTGTGACTGTGTGTGTGTGTGTGTGTGCACGCTTCTGTCTTAGCAGGTGCCGTCGAGTGTTCACCAAAGTTAAACGTCCCCTCTCGAAAAAACCTGACTGAGGCTTGAAGGACACATTCTTAACGTAGTACCAGGCGTCAGTGAAACAGTGACTGTCACATCCAGTGGCAACACAGTAAAAGCTGCTCCTTGAGATTAAAACACAGACAAGGTGTCCACATCTCCGCTTCTGTGTGTAAAAGCATAAACAGAAACAAAGGGGAAGGAAGGAAGGAAGGAAGGAAGGAAGGAAGGAAGGAAGGAAGGAATTCTCATTCTCAGACGGCACCGATTTGTGCAAAATGCGAAAGAATCTACAGGCAAATCACTTGGATTCTTAAGACAGCTGCCCCTGGGTGCTGGGGAGAAGGGGACAGGAGTATTTCTTGGGTGTGAGCAGCACTTGGGAGTTTAAATCATGGGCGACCTCACGGACAAAGAAGGTCTAGACTTGGGGAAAACAGTGAAATGTCTAGAAGTGAAAAACGTGTTTATTAGAACCCAGGCCTCGACGGGTGGAGGGTGGATCAGACACTGCTAAAGAGGGGATTAGTGAGCTGGAAGATGTGTCTGAAAACGTGCCCAGGGTAGCCCAGGGTACAAGAAAAACGGGAAATACGAGGGAGGGGTTAAGAGAGATGGAGGAGAAGCTGTCTAACGTTCAACTGGGGAGAAAATGGAGAGACTGCAGCAAAGCAATTCTGAAGAGATTCGGTGCCTGAGGGTTTTGCGGAACCCCCGAGAAATGCGAGTCCACAAATTCAACAGCACCACCTGTGCCAGCAGGAAAGCAAACAAACCCCATTACTGCCATAGCCTGTGACGCCAGGAGGCCGTGGCTCCGGGATTCCGTGTGCCCCAAAATTGCCCCCCGAGACAGGCCTTTCCCTGGCGAAGGAGGACTGAAGGGGTCGCTGCAGAGAGACCCTGCGAAAGGACACATGTCGGGGTTCTCCTGGAGCAGAAGGGGTCTGGGCTCAGGACACGGGTGAGCAGGGGGGCGTGGGGCGCAGCCTGGCAGGTGCAGGGGATGCAGACACGCTCCCCGTGTGGCGGCGTGGCGGCGGCTTCTCGTCGGCATCGGGCCCGGAAGAGCCACGGCCCCGGCGGCAGCAGTGTGTGCGGGGTGGGAGGCCGGGGCGCCTTCCGGTCCTCGAGGTGCTGGGGTGCTGCATCAGGCTTCCACGTGCGGGCTTCAGGCTCAGCGGGCTGGATGCAGTTCCCAGACCAAGCATTAGAAGAGTAGAAACAGGGTGTCTGAATCGCTAATTGGAAGGAAAAAATCAAAACTCACAAAGAAAAAAATTGTGGAGAAAATATATAAGCAGAAATTTAAAGGCAATAAAAACAAATCCCGTTATATCAGTAATCAGGACATACAGGAAGTAGACAAAAATAAAGTTTGTCAGATTGTGTTGAAGTTTTTGAACATATGCATACATGTGCCTACACACGAGTGCACGCACACACACACACACACACACACGCCTCCTGTCTCCCCCTGCCCACCCCAGTCCTTGGAAAACTGTCTTCCACAAAACCGGGGGTACACACAAAAGAGGTAATACGTAAGGGAAGTTCTGAAATACAAAGCAGAGAAGATCAGCAAAGCGAATATTTGGTGTGTGGAAAACATCGAATAGATAAGCCTTTGAGGGGTTGGCCGAGGAAAGTGGGGGGGGGGAGAGGCACAGAGACGCTGTGACTGGGGGGAGGAGGTCGTGGGAGGCTGGGCATTGCCGGCGTCAGTGGACCCCCGTGCTCGCCGTCCTCCGCCCTGCCGCGAGCGCGTTTGCCCTCGCCCGTGGCAAGGGGGGGTCTCTCTCTTGCCGTGACCCAGCAGTGGGGGGTGGCTGCAGGCCCGCGAGAGTGAAGCATGAGAGGACCCCAGAGACGGCCTCACAGCGGTGCGTGTGAAGGCTTAGCTGAAATGCCACATCAACCTGGTAAATGGAAACTGTGCAAGAAGTTAGAGCAGAGCCACAGGTTTTCCCAGTGAGAAAACTGCACTCTGGCCCTTCACGGAGACCTCGGACGGCAGACCGCCCGGGCGTGTGCGCACGCCACCGGGGCGTCGGAGTGGGAGGGGCGGGCGCGCGGGAGGGGCGCGGAGCTTGGGCAACCGGCGGGGCCAGAAAGAACGTCTGGAAAGGTGTCAGTGCTCATTTCTGATTTCGAAAGGAAAACAGTGATGAGCCAGCAACAGAACACCCTTAACCTGCAGAAGGGGTTTGCCCAAAGAGGGGGTGAGGGGGGAGACCTCTGCACAGAATAGCTCCCAAGACGGGAGAGGGGCGCGGGCCCCACCAGCCCTCTCTGCTCCGGCTCCGTTCAGCCTCCGGTGGCAGTTCCGGCCGGCGCGTCAGACCAGCAGTGGGAGGCTGGAGGGTGGGAAGGAGGAAGTCAACTTCCGTCCTAGAGACGACCTGCTGTCCACACGGGAAGTCACACGGGAGCACGCAGGGCAGCGGGCGGGGCTGTGCCTGGGGGGGGCACTCTTCCCTTCTCCCAGCGCGGCCTGCAGGGCCCCTGCAGACGGGACAGCGTGTGTAGCGGCGCGTCTGAGGCTGCCCCAGCCCTGTGCACAGAAGGCTGTGAACTTGACTGAAGAGCAGGGACGCCTAAGTCACAGGCACCCCGTGTTCATGGAGGGGAAGGGTTAACGTCAAGCTGCCGAGTTCCCGAGCTTGGAGACCCCGAGGGCGGAGCCGCCCCGTGCCCCGGGAGCACGCTGGGGGGCCACGGTGTGGTGTGATGGCGGCACCGAGGGGGACGGACGACCTGAGCTGCCGGCCCCGAGCGGGGCCCCTGGGGGTGGAGCGGGAAGCACGGGCGAGAGCCGCGTGAGGCCCTGCGCGTGTGAGTTCCAGGTTGGGTGGGGGCAAGGACGTTGTCCACACACCTGCCACGTGCTCCCGCAGCCGGGCCCCGCGTCTGCCCGAGAGGTGACAGCAGACGCCCACCCCTCGCCTTCCCCCACGTTCGACTCGGGACCGCCGAGTGCCCACAGCAGACGGGTGGGGCACAGGCGGTGCCCTCCTCGTCCCCTGGACGCTGCTGGGTGGGAACAGCCCGGCCAGCTGTCCTGCCTGGGGTGCGGGTCCCTGCCGCCCCCACGGGCCAGCCCTGGGAGCACGCCCGTTACAACCGAGCGAAGGGTCTTCTAAGCGGTGAGGTGCCGTGTTCAGAGGCACACCCGTGGGTGTCCAGGCTGGGATGAGAAGCAAGGTGGTTATCCAGATGAGAAGTCAGAGGCTTGGTTACTTCTGAGGACGAGGGAGGGCCATGACTCAAGGCGCCAGGGGCTGCCCGGGTGCTGGCGGGGCACCACGCTGACCGATGATCCGCGGTGTTTGCCTCGTGAGTAGTCTTGACCTCGCACGTTTGTTCCGTTTACCCTTCCGTGCGTGCGTGTCACGAACCAAAGTCCGGAAAACACGGAGGTCTGCAAGGCTCCCGGCAGAACAGGAAGAGCCCAGAGATTCCGGCTCCGGCAGGAAGCCGCCGGGCGTTCAGACGAGGGGATGCCGGCGGGACGTCGGCGTCCCGGAGCCCACCTGGAGCTCTGCGCCGTGGCACGGGGCGGCCGCTGGGCCCTGCGGGCACGCAGGTGGTGCGCAGAGGGAGCCGCCTGGGCTGGCCGGGGCTGCCGCTGGGTGGACTGGGCCCCTGCCCAGCCTCACCCCCAGGCCAGCGCCGCGTGGGTTCGGATCACACGGGCAAGCAAAACTTTACTTGGGATGCAGGCGAAAACCTGCTGGCATGGCGAGGAAGGGGTTCTGGAAAACACCGAAGAGAAGGAGAGGCTGGCAGACGTTCGAGGGAGCAGCTGCTGTGTGGGAGGGGAGGGCAGGGCTGCAGCCCTCACAGGAGGTCCGCCCCGAGGCGTGTGAAGACACGGGACAGGCCCGGACGGCGGGGGGGGACGTGCCTGCTGATCAGTGCGCAGAGGCCACGGTGGGACGTCCTAGGGGACCGCCTGATGGGGCGCCCCCCACCCGCTGCTGCTGGCAGCCTCTGGGTCCCGGCTCCTCGGGAGTTCGGCAGGACCAGTCCAGGGGGCTTCGCAGCCCTCGCGCCCCAGCGGTCCACGTGGGGCCCGGACCCGTGGGCAGAGCCGTGCAGTGGCCTCGCCGCTGCCCCTCCAGTGGCGTTCCTGCAGCTGCAGGCGGGAGCCGGGCCCTGTAGGGACCACACAGGCGCGGTGCGGCGCTGAGCAGAGGGAGCCGGGCCGTCCAGTGCAGCCCTGCTCCCCACAGTCACACGTGTGCACAGCACGCTCCTGCTGAGTGTGCATGTGGAGGTCCTGGTGCCACGCACCAGCACGGGGTGCTCCTGGGGGCAGCCGGTGCCCTGGGGCTGGCGGTGCCGGCATCTCAGGTGGGGGTCGGGTCGGTCACCTGGCCTTCTTGCCGTAACACTCTGCACGTGTGTGGGCTCGTGTGTGCGTGACCTGCTTCTCAGAGGACGGCACGGGTGCCCGAGGGGAGGGGGTGTCCAGAGTGTGGGCCGAGAGGAGCGGGGGGCGGGCAGCAGGACAGGCCGGGCCCCTCAGGAACCAGGGGGCCGCCAGGCTCCTTCCTGGCTTTGGCGCAGGTCAGGTTCCGTTGAGATGCTCACTGCCCCGGTTACAGGCGGGGAGGTGAGACGTTCAGAGGTCGTGCGGAGTACAGGTGTTTGAAAGAAAACGTCCATTCCTTTCCTCACTGCAAAAGTCGTCTGCTACTCCCTGGAAGCAGGCGGCATCGTGTGGGCTTTTCCAGATGCTCTTAGCCCTGTGTGGGGTCCAGAGGCGGAGGGGGTCCGGCCAGCGCTGTGCCCCTGCTGTGCCCCGAACACTCTGGCTGCAGGTCACCGCCTGTGAGCAGGTGCTAGGCGAGGGCGGGCCAGCGTCTCCGGGGTGCAGCGCTGGAGAAGGGCCTGCCGGGCCCTCGGATGCTGCGCGCGGGCGGCCCCCTGCAGCGCCGGTTGGGAAGGGTGACACAAAGCACCCGAGAGTGTTGGGGGCGGGCGCCGGCCGGTGCCCTGAAGCCGGGGACCGGGCGCAGCCGGACGGCAGGGTGTGGAGGGCCGCACAGGGAGACGCGGGAGGACGCAGGCTGAGGGCGCTCTGGCTTTCTCTCTTCCAGGTTCTGTTTGGACTCCGCCAGGCAGACCCGACAGAGACTGTCAATCAACTGGTCCAACTTCAGTTTGAAAAAGGCCACCTTCGCCGCCCACTGAAGGAGGGCCATGCCGGCGCCCGAGACCAGCCGCCGCCCGGAGGCGCCGCCCGGCCGGCCCCCGGCGCCCGTGCGTGTCGTCTGTGCCCCCGTGCCCGTCGCTCCCGCCGCCTCCTCCGCCCCCGGGGCCGGGGCCTGGCCGCAGCCGGAGACGGGTCCGCACCACCCTCGTGGCTCCCTGGCCTCTGCACCGCGCCGCCCCGTCGTCTGTCCCTGAGGGCGACGCTGCCGCCACGCCGCTCCCGCCTGGGGGTGGGCGGGCGGGCGCCAGTCTCCACAACCTGCTGTTAAGAGTGTGCACGTCGCACTGTGTGTGTCTGACCCCCGACGCGTAGCCAGCTTGTGTAAGACCCTGCAGAGTGGGACTGTTCCAGCGAGCCCACCCAGTACTCACCGTCCAGTCCGTTAGAGTGTCCGACTGTATTAACACGGGCCTGCCTGGCTACTTTTTAACATATTGTTAAGTAATATTAAAATCATGTCTTTCTTTTTGAAAGATGGAATACATTAGTACAGCAGAAGGCCTCGTCTGGTTGCTTCCTGCTGGGGCTGAAGAAGTGGGGCGGGGCGGGGGGTGTGGCAGGGGGCCGTCCCCCCGTGCAGCTGTCCCGCCACCCCAGCTGGCCACTTAGGGGTCCCGGTGCCCTCGCTGTCCTTCAGGCCCCAGGCCGCAGGGCAGAGTCCAGCCAGAAGTGGTAAGTGCTGGAGAAGCGGCAGCCAGGGTGATGCCCATCCAGGGGCCCGGGAGGCCTTGCGTGTGAACCTAAAGACTCAGGGAGGCAGGTGCCCGCCCGGCCCTGGGGCGTGGGATCTCTCTAATGAAACGGAAAGTTGCGCTGAGTTGGGTTCAGATGAAGAACGTGAACAGTATTTAAGATGGGAAAAGGAATCCCTGCTCGGTCCCTTTGTTCTGAGGTCTTCAGGGCCTTTGCAGGGAGCTGCCTCCTGGCGGCAGCCAGCGCCGCCGGCCCCCCCGCCCCTGCGCACACCTCGAGGACCTGGTGTGGCCCCGTCCCCTGCTCTCCTGCGCAGACTGGCCAGGCTCCCGGCCAGGGGGTGAGGGGCTGGCCTCCGGGCGTGTTGTGGCCGGCAGGTCCACGGGGCGTTCTCTGGCGGGCTCCCTGGGCACAGCACCCTCGGGGGCCACCCTCGTTGTTGCACACGGCGGCACGAGTCACTGTGCAGGTGGACCCCCTCTGCTTCGCCCGTCCTCCGCCCGTCCTCGTCTGGCGCTGCCCCGCCTTGGCCACCGCGCGTGACCCGGCAGCGAGCACGGGAGCCCGTGTCGTCGTGAATCGGCGTGTGTGTTTTCTTTGAATGAACACCCAGAAGTGGGGTCGCGGGGTCACGAGGCTGACCCATCTGTAATTATTTGAGGGGTTCCACACTGCTTTCCACAGGGGCTGCACCAGCCTGCGTGCCCACGCAGCCAGCCACCCGCCGAGCCCGAGGGCCCCCTCTCCACACGGCCTCGTGGACGGCGGCCATCCGCCGGGTGCGAGGTGACGCCGTGGTGGCTGTCGTGGGTGGCGCTCTGACGGCGTGGGACGGTGGGCGTGGGCCCCCCGCGGGTGCCCTGTGGAGGGGCGTCTGTTGGGGCCCTTTTCCCGTCCCGTCCCCGGCGGGATGTTCTGTCTCCTGGATGGTTTTCCTCACTGCGAACGCTCCCGCCAGACGCATTCCCCGCTTGTTGTTTCTGGCGTCGCCCTCGCCTGGGTGGGCACGCCCACAGGCGTGCGGACCCGAGCGGCAGCAGCAGCAAGTGCGCCCTCCGTCCTCTTCCAGGACGGCGGGTGTCCGCCTCACCTGCCCTGCGGTGCGCGCAGACTGTCCGCGCCTGCGGCTCTGCAGCACCCAAGGGCGCGCCTCGTGTCTCCGCCCACCTGACGGGACAATGGGTGGCTAGGATTCCTTCGCACCGGAGGGCTGCTGTCGTTTCTTACCCACCCCCCCACGCCCCAACAGTCTGAGGGAGGTGCCGTCCCTGCCCCCAACCACACAGCTGCTGTAGGCTTCTCACTGCGGTGGTTCGGGTCACTGCCCGGGGGCATCTCTGATCCGCTGGAGGGTTTTGTGCGAGTGGTGCCAGAGAGTGGTCCAGCTCTTTTTCCTGTGTCTGTCCTCCTTGCTCGTTCGCCTTAGGTGTCGTCTGGCCCCCACCGCACCCTCTGGCCCAGGGTAATGGGCCCTGTAGCGAGGATTTGTCTGGGCACGCCCTGTTCTGCCCCTTGGGTCCACACGCCCATCTCCGAGCCAGTACTGTGTGTCGATGGCCTCGCAGTGCAGTGCCGCACCAGTTAGCATGACACCCCCCACTCCGTGGGTTCTCAGGGCTCCTTTGGCTACTCGGGGTCGTTTGAGGCCGTTTCCAGCCCTGGCCCTGGGGGAGGAACCACAGACCCCAGAGACCTGCATGCAGGAGGCTGAGGTGGCTGGAATTGGTGAGGTAGAGTTCTGTTTGTTTATTTTTATTTTTAAATATTTATTTATTTTCAGAGAGGGGGCAGGGAGAAAGAGAGGGAGAGAAACATCGATGTGTGGTTGCCTCTCGCACGCCCCCTACTGGGGACCTGGCCCGCAACCCAGGCATAAGTCCTGACTGGGAATCAAACTGGTGACCCTTTGGTTCACAGGCCGGTGCTCAGTCCACAGAGCCACAGCAGCCAGGACCTGTGGGGCAGAGTTCTGGACGAGAGGCCGGCACTGAGTGCACACGGCACCCAGAGACCTGCCGAGTCCCCGGAGAGCTGTTCATCTGTGTGTCCGGGATAAAAGTCCGTGGATCTCGGGGAACTCAGCAGAAAGCAGTAGAGCTGAAACAGTTCGCGTGTCCACCAGCCAGCGGGGAAGACCTTGTCATACTCAGCCGGGCACTGTGGGGAGCCCCTAGAAGGACCTCATCCTAGTGGTGGGTGGGGCTGAATTAGACCAAAGTCAAGTCCAAGGCTGCAGGCTGGACTCAGAAGGACCAGGCGGACCCCAAGGAGCCGAGCGGCCTGTGCCGGGCAAAGGACCTGTGGCTCTCGGGCCGGCCCTCGCCCACTGAGCCGGGGCCGGTCTGTGCGTCCTTGGAGGAGACGGGAGTCAAGCCACAACAGGCCATTTTGTTGCCTTTCCCAGTTGTGGCAAATACACAGGAACAGAACGATATTTCATGGTGACTGTGTATCTTGAGATTGTCAAACCAGTTTGTTAATTCTGAACTGTTCCGTAAGACCCCCCAGGAGTCCCCCACACAGCCATGCGGGTGTTGGCCACAGGGGTGTGGGGCGCACGCCTGCACTGGGCTGAGGAAGTCGCGCCTGTTCCCGGCCGGCAGAGCCTTTCGCCACGAGTGGGTGCCGGCTGTGTTCACGTGTCTCCTCGCTGCTCTCGAGGCGACCCCGCGGCTCTCCTCACTCTGTCCGTCACGAACGTCGTTCGGTTGGTGTCCTCAGTGCCGCCCGGTCTCGTCCTCCGCCGGGTTCGCGGGCACTGTCCTGCTGACGTGCGGGGTCGCACGCGCCACTGTCGGGTTCCGGGTTTCCGCTTCGGTGTCCTCGAAAGACGCCGCCCTCCCCGCGTACCCCCCCCCCCCCCGGCTCGCTGTCAGAGGATGGGCGGCGGCGAGGTCGGCGGCGCCTCTCCTGAGCGTCGGGAAGAATTCTGCAGCGAGGTCACCTGGGCCCGGGATGTGTCCGTGAAAGAGTTTTCATTACAGATTCGATTTACTCCACGGACCTTCAGCTGCTCACATTTCTGTTTCTTCTCGGGTCCGCTCTGGGGAGTTCCTTTTCAAGAATCGTGTCCGTTTCACCCAGTTGTCGCACTGATGACTGGTGCCCATAGTTCCCTCTTACCTGTGACCACCTTAGAGACCGGCGGGGACCCCCCCCTCCGTTCCCAGCGGCAGCGGCAGCGACGTGCGCTTCCTCTTTTCTCTTCCTCAGCCGCGCCTGGGGGCTGTCCGATTCACTGCCGTCTGAAAGAACCGACTCACGGCATTGTCTGCTTCTCTCTGCTTTCTGTTTCATTGGCTTCTGCTCTTCTATTTCCTTCCTTCCGTTTGGGCGGGGGTAACGCGCGGTTCTTTTTCCGTCTTCTGGATCTGGGCGCTGGGGTCACTGAGCTTGAACCTTTGCTCACTTCCGACGCGTGCGTCTAGAGCTGTGGGATTCCCCCTCCCCCGGCCCCCGGCTCCGTCCCCTCAGCTGTGCTCCATGATTCTTGTCTCGTTTGATTTTTTTCGTACTCCATAACGTTTTTGGGGACGCTTTTCGACTTCAGAGAGAAAGGGAGAGCGAGCATGTGAGAGGAAAACATCAGCTGGTTGCCTCCTGCCCGCACCCAGGCCGGAGATCGGCCCGCAGGCCTTCGCTGTACAGGACGGCGGCGCTCCAGCCGGCTGCGCCGTCCAGCCGGGGCTGGGCTGCACGGTTTTTAAAAAGTCGTTCTCATTGTCACTCAGTTCAGAATACTTTCCTAACTTTGTGTTTCCCTGGGCCCACGGATCATCTGGAAGTGTGTGGGCATCTGATCGTTACCTCTCTGCTACCGGGTGGTGGTTTGATTGCACCACAGCGGGAGAACTTCTGCTCGGGGACTCCGGCCCCTGGAGCACGTCAGGGTGAGACCTGGCTCCCTGTCCGCGGGTCTGCCCCTCTAGGCAGCGTCCCGTGCGTCCTCGGTGTAGCCTGACTTTTTCCTGCCTCCTTCCGTTCCCGAGAGAAGTACGTGCAGGTCTCCGCCCTTGTGCCTTTGTCCGGTGCTGCTCTTGCTGTGTTTCGAAGCTCTGTCCAAATTCAGGAATGTTGCGTGTTCCTGGTGAACTTACCCTGTTTTCGTGGTGCAGTGTCTCCTTTCTGGAGACACCTTCCGTCCGTGTAAAGGCCACTCTGTCCGATGAGCACGCAGCCACTCGCACGTCCTTGGTTAGTGTCAGCGCCGTGTACGCTCTGCTGTCTCTCCACTCTGGGCGCTCATATTTAAAGTGTCTTTCCCACCGAGCACACAGGCGAGACTTTATTTTCATCCAGGGCGACCGTCATTGTCTGTCAGTCAGCGTGTGTGGCCCATTCGTTTATTTAAATGTATTTTATTGATTATGGTATTCAAGTTGTCCCATTTTCCCCCTTTTATTCCCTCCCCCTCCCTCCTGCATTCCCCCCTTCAGTTCATGTCCATGGTCGTACATATAAGCTCTTCGGCTTCTCCATTTCCCACACTGTTCTTAGCCTCCCCCGTCTATTTTCTACCTGCCATCTGTGCTACTTATTCTCTGTGCCTTTTCCCTCTCCCCACTCCTCTTCCCCGCTGATAACCCTCCGTGTGATCTCCATTTCTGTGATTCTGTTCCTGCTCTAGTTGTTTGCTTAGTTTGTGTTTGTTTTTGTTTAGGTTTAGTTGTTGAGTTGTGAGTTTGTTGTCATTTTACTGTTCAGTTTTGATCATCTTTTTCTTAGATAAGTCCCTTTCACATTTCATATAATTAGGGTTTGGTGATGATGAACTCCTTTAGCTTAACCTTGTCTGGGAAGCACGCTATCGGCCCTTCCATCTGCGCCGTGAAGGGGCATGTACGCGATCGTGGCCGTTTCATTTGGAGGTTTGGATTCGCAGACAATAAAAACCCCAAGTCAAAGGTGAATAGTTAAGCACTTTATTAATCGAGAGCAAAATCAAAGCAGGAATCAAGAGCATCCATCACAGACGGGAGGTCACCTACACCAAACGCAGGCGCCTGGGAATCCCAGAGACGGCAGCTTCAGGGTTCGTCTGGGAAAAGTTCCCAGCGAAGCGTCCTTCCCTCGGGTGGGGTTCCAAAGCCGCACTGTGGGGGCTGTGCTTGAATGTGCTTTAGACAGACGTGGCCACGCGCCCAGGGCCTTGTGTGACTTTGACTGAACTAACCGCTCCCTCGGGGAGAAGGGCCAGTCCCCCCAGGGGAGCAGCTGAAGATCAAAGGGTACCAGTCTCCTGGGGAGGAGGGCGCGCTCTCCCTGGGAGACAGCTCTGTGGTTTGCTTTTCCAGCAAAGGTCACGGCCCGGGCATAAACGGGGAGAGTTCTCAAAGTCGCTTTAACTGTTCCTTCACTGTTCTAAGTGAAAGCTTTGCTGGATAGAGCAATCTGGGGTGTAGGTCCTTGCCTTTCATGACTTGGAATACTTCTTTCCAGCCCCTTCTTGCCTGCAAGGTCTCTTTTGAGAAGTCAGCTGACAGTTTGATGGGGACTCCTTTGGAGGTAACTGTCTCCTTTTCTCTCTCTGCTTTTAAGATTCTCTCCTTCTCTTTAATCTTGGATAATGTAATTAAAATGTGCCTTGGTGTGTTTCTCCTTGGGTCCAACTTCTTTGGGAATCTGAGTATTTCCTTTACCAGATTGGGGAAGTTCTACTTCATTATTTTTTTCAAATAAATTTTCAGTTTCTTGCTCTTCCTCTTCTCCTTTTGGCACCCCTATGATTCAGATGTTGGAGCATTTAAAGTTGCCCTGGAGGTTCCTAAGCCCCTCCTCATATTTTTGAATTCTTGTTTCTTCGTTCTGTTCTGGTTGAGGGTTTATTTCTTCCTTCTCATCCAGATCACTGAATCCCAGTTTCCTTCCCATCACTGTTGGTTCCCTGTACATTTTCCTTTATTTCACTTAGCATTGCCTTCACTTTTTCCTCTATTTTGCGACCACACTCAACCAATTCTGTGAGCTTCCAGATTACCAGTCTTTTGAACTCTGCATCTGATAGGTTGGCTGTCTCTTCACTGCTTAGTTGAATTTTTGTGGAGCTTTGATCTTTTGTTTGGGTTTTTATTTTGTTTTGTTTTTTGTTTCCAAGCCTGTTATGTAGTAAGGGGCTGAGCCCTAGGAATTCTCCAGGACAGGGCAACCAGGATACTGCATAGTGGTGCTGTCTGTGGGGGGGGGGTCCAAGAGGGAACAGTGCTGCTTGCTTATCTCTCTGTTGGCTTTTAGTCACTTCCCCACTCCCCCACAAGCAAATCTGGCCCTCCTGGTGCCAATTCCCAGGTGGGTGGGCTTGCGTGCATTCTAGGACCCTGTGGGTCTCTCCAACGACCTCTCCTGTGAGGCTGGGAGTTTCTCCTGCTGCAGCCCACAGAGGTGTTTTCAGTCGGAGGTTTGAGGCTTTATTTCCCGGTGCTGGAGCCCTGGGTTGTGGGTCTGTCTTGCTCCCCAGTTGTTCCTCCCGGTTTATCTGCGTGTGAACGTGGGACCGCCGGGTCTACCAGCTGCTGCCTCACTGCGAGACCTCTGCACCCCAGCTGCCTGACTCCGCCCCTCATACCCGCCTGGACGAATGTTTCTTCTTTAACCCTTTGGCTGTGGGACTTCCATGCAGTTCACTTTTCTGTCAGTTCTGGTGGTTTTTTGTTTTTAAATTGTTGCCTTTCTTTAGGTTGTGCGAGGAGGCACAGTGTGTCTACCTACGCCTCCATCTCGGCCTCCTGTCCGTGTCCCGTCGCGGTGACTACTGGCGGGGCTGGGGGTGAGGCTCCCGCTCTCCCACCCGCCGTCTGCTGGTCTCCTCACCTCTTTGTCCCTTCAGTTCTCCTGACGTGTCCTCCTTCACCAACGACGGTGTCCTGCTGACTGTTCAATTAAAGACTGTCAGCACCATTTTAGTGGTTACCCCAGAGATCGTAACATGCTTTCTTCGTTCCTTAGAGTCCACCTTGAATCAGTGAAAACCTCGCAGTCGCCTGAGTTTACTAAACGCTCCCCGCCACCACCCAGGAGGCTCGTGGCGGTCCGGCCGGCCTGCTGTCGCTGTGAACAGCGCATCTCCGGCCCTGACTGCCCTCCCACCAGCTGTGTTCCGCCTGCAGCCTGCGTTTCTGTGGTCACTTCCTGCCGTCCAGGCCCTGGGTCTGGGCTTGGAGCTGTGTGTCTTCCTTCTGCCTCCGGTGTTCCGTGCTGTATTTTCTTTGTGTACAGACCAGTGGCCCTGCCAGGCCAGGCCCCGGGCGCCACTGCCCGAGTCTGGGGCGCCGGCTTCTGTCGTGGCTCGTGGAGCCTGCGCCCACTCCTTCAGCGAAGGGCTGCTCAGCGCTGCCCCGGGACGTCGCCTGGACTCCGAGGGCGGCCCTTCTGGGTTTCAGAGGGAACCCTGGGGTGCTCGCACAGGCCCTCTGGCCTTGAGACTCGAGTTCTGAACTGTCACCGGGCAAGGGACGCTGCAGCGTCTGCCCAGCCCCTGCCGCTCCCCAGCCTGCTCTGCCCAGGGTCCTCCAGTCCCCCCGAGCACGCCCAGTTTGGGGGTTGGCCGAGGAGCTGCAGGTCCCCTCCCGTGGGATGTCCCCGTCCTCTCGCTGCAGCACTCGGGGTCCGTGAACTGCCCCGGTGTGTCAGGCCGGTGAGGCTGGGGCTTCCTGCTACGCCGTTCCCCACCCCACTGACGGGTCTCTCTGGGCGGGGTCCCAGAGAGGGGGCGCGGGGGCTCCCCAGGGGAGAGGAACCCCGACTGCACCTCGAAGACCTGCCCAGACGGAGACGGTGCGAGGGTGTTCCAGGCAAGAGGCACAGTGGCGGCCAGTGGGCGCGCCCCTCATCCCACCTGGTCTGGCTCCCACCCGAGTGGGGACGCGGCTGAGCCCCCGCGCCCGGCCACCACGCCTTCCCACAGCAGTCAGCAGCAAACATGTTTATTACACGAGCACGTGAACACACAGTGAGAGTGCCTGAGCTCCGGGGTGCGTGGCTGGCACCGTGGCAGCACCCTCTGCCCAGAGCACACAGCAGCTCCTCCAGCCGAGGCCACCCCGGCCAGCGACTGGCGGCCGCACGCTGGGCTCTGCGCCCCTGGAGGGGCCCTCCCACCCTGGGCGCCGGCGTGTGGCGCCCACGGGCAGCCCCTCTTCCCAGCAGGCTGCAGCGCCCCAGGCGCAGGGTGGGGCGGGGCTGTCACCTGGGCCGCAGCCGGACACCTTGAGCTCTGTGCAGGAAGCAGAGCCGGGCCTCCCGAGCACGCACCACCCCCGGTGCAGCGGGTCCCCCTGACCCACTCTGTCCGCGGCTGGAGCAGGACCGAGGCAAGGGGTCGGAAGCACCCTCAGCCTGGATCTCGCGTGCTGAGGGCGCCCCGCCTGTCCCTGCCTGGGCTCACAGGCAGCACTCGGCCACGTGCCTCAGGAGCTCCTCGCCCTGCTCGTCGCCGAAGCCCTGCAGGCAGTGGGGGCACTGGAGCTCCCCCTGGCCGCTCTGGGCTGCGCCGGGGCGCCCGCCCTCTCCAGGGGCGGCCGGACACTGGGACCCGGTCCCGGGCCGCTGGCCGGCAGATGCCGGCAACTCCACGGCATCGGTCTCTGAGTACTTGGGGGGCTGGGTCCCTGTGTGAATCCGGCAGGAGCCTGGCTTCTGGGGGTCCTGGAAAAAAGACAAAGGTCTGCTTACATGGGCTGCACGGGAGGCCACCAAGCCGGGTCCTGGGTTCCCCGCTCCCGGCTCTGTCCCAGGGCCCGGAAGCCCGCGGCAGAGTGTGGTGACGTCACGTGTCATGTGCTCACAGCGGGCCAGCCGCAGGGCCGGAGCCCACTGGGCACGTGACCCAGGGCCTCGGCCCCCACATCCGTGGGACAGGGCGACAGGGGCCCCGCCTCACAGCAAGGAGGGGGCGCCAGTGGAAGGAGCGCCCGCCGAGGAGCCTGCGGCCCAGGACGAGCCCCCTGGGCCCCTCCCGCCACACCGCGCCCCGCCAGCCCCCTCCAGGCGGCCGCTCGGCGGACGGCGCAGACTCAGGACTCCAAGTTCACGACGAGGAACGACGCCCTGAGCACCCCCGGGGCCCCAGCACCCACGCCCTACCTGCCCGCGGGACGCCTGGCGCTGCAGGGCGGCCAGCTGGTCCTCCAGCTCCTGAATCCGGCCCTGCGCCCGCTCCCGGTCCGCCCTCTCCGACAGGAAGTCGTCCTTGTACACCAGGATCTGGGGAGAGCAGACGCCCCGTTGCCGCGCCGCCCGGTCTGCCCGCCGCGGGAGGTGCGGCGCCCGCCCCGCCCCCGCCCCCGCCCCACCTGCTGCTCCAGCATCTGCGTCCGCTCCCGCGCCGCCGCCAGCTCCCGCGCCGTCCCCGCGCACTCGCCGATCCTCGCCTCCAGCTGCCGGTTGAGCCGGGAGATCTCCTTCCTCATCAGCCCCAGCTCGGGCTCGGGGGCCGGCGGCCCCCGCAGCTGGGCCCGCAGCTCCCGCACGTACTCCTCCCGGCTGGCGTCGTAGCGCTGCCACTTGGCGTTGAGGTCCTCCACCTGCGGACGGAGCGGGGAAGCCACTGCCCCTGCCACGGAGCTGGGGAGCTGCGGACCAGCTGCAGGGCCCAGGGCAGGGGCCTGGTGCCCGTGTCCTGCCCCGCCCCCTGGGGCACGTGACCCTGAGGGGGGAGAGGCCCACGCCCACCACCGGGTGGCCTGACCTGCAGCTCCTGACGGGAGCCCTCCCCCAGTGAGATGCCCGACACTCACATGAGTCACCTTCTGCTTTAACAGTCGGTTTTCTTCCCGTAACCTCTCAATCGCAGCCTGGACAGAGGCCTCCCTGCCTGCGCGTCCTGGCTGCAGAAGAAAGGGACAGGGGAGACGGGGTCCCCAAACGTGCCAGTCACATGCAGCAAGAGGGAGGGGGCCAGGCCCAGCGACGCGGTCCCAGGCGCAGCAGGAGGCGGCCCTTCCTCTGCCGGAGCAGCACAGCGTGGGCAGGAAGGGCTCCCGACCGCCTGCTGGTGCCGGTGGGCCTCGCCCTCCGGTGCCCCCCACGCCCCGCCCGGCGGCCACGCTCAGCTGTCCCACCCCCGCAGCTGTCAGGAGGGCGGCGTGCTCAATCCCACTGTCCCCAGGGGACACCGGCCAGGCCCACGACCTCAGCGTGTCTGCAGACAGCCAGGGCCCACCTCGCCGGCCCTCACACAGGATCAGGGGAGTGTCACCCAGAACTCACAGCCCGGGGCGGCCCGCTGCCGCGAGCCAGTGCCTTCACCAGCACCGCGGGCTGGGCACCGGCAGCATTGCTCTGAGAATTTCCCTTGAGTGGCAGGAAGTGTGTGTCCTGACCCAGCACCGGGGAAGCCCCGGTGACTCAGGGCTGGGAAGTGACGCTGACTTGGAGACTGCAGGCCCCGCCAGGCCCCGGGCCGGCCGCTGCGTGGTCCCCAGAGGGAGGGGGCAGTGACTCAGAGCCAGACGGGGGCGTGCTCCTCCCAGAGGGCACTTTTTCCTGTGGTTCCTGGCACACGCGTGTCCTTCTGAGAGTCCCTTTGTGTGGAGCACACCCAGCACACGGGTGGTTTCGGGCAGAGGGCCTCCCAGCGGACCTGCTGCTCAGCGGGGGGAGGGGGGGGACACCCCGTCCGCCCCGAGCACAGCAGAGTGCATTTCTCCAGGGCCTCGGTGCGGCCGCAGACACCTGCCTGGGAAGCACCGGGCGAGAGGCCCTGCGCGGTGGGGGGGTCCTGGGCCCGTGGGGGGCACGAGGCCTCTTCCCATCTGCCCCCCGTGGGGAGCGCAACCCGCCCGCAGGCCCGCGCTGGGGCTGGAAGGCGGCAGGACAGCGGCTTCGGCTCCATCCCCCCACGGGCCCCCCACATCCCTGCTCGGGATCCCTATGACTCCACCCCGAGGGGCTCCTGGCACTGAGGCCCTCACCGGCCCCTCTCCCCACAGGCGGGCACCGCCGGGAGGCCCGCCTGCCGCCCCGCACGCCGCGCTCTGCCGACGAGGACGCTGGAGCCCTGGGGCGGCTGCACCTCTGAGCCACGGCCCCTGGCGCGACAGGCCCAAAAGCCACTTCAGAGCTGGCAGCCCCGGCTCTGCAGGCGACCCAGGCCCGGCCAGGGGCCCACAGAAGGCTGCGCTCAGTCCCCTGCCCGCGGGGCCTCGGGAGGCGATCCCCACCTCGCCCGGTTCCCGCCCCTGCCCAGCACCCAAGTTTGGGGCAGCCCCTCGACCCAGCCCTGCCTCCTTGTGCGCCCCAAGGCTGAGGGCCCCGGGTGCCGCCTCCCCCCACGCCCCGGGCACAGGGCCTAGGTGGAGCGGGCTGGGGAAGCCTGGCTGTCCCATTGAGTTCTGCGTGGGCCGTCACTCCAGAAGACGCCCCTGGAAGGTCAGGCTCTGCCTCGACAGAAGTGGGCCCGGCAGGCCGGCCTTGGGGACTGCCCAGGGCCGCCGGGCCAGCAGGCGGTGTCCCTGCCCCGAGCCCCCCTCACTGCAGCCTACCTCCGGGCTCTGCTCCCCCACGGCCCCCTGCCGTGCATCCAGACACTTGGCCAGGTGCTGACACATGTGGGCGGTGGCGGCCAGAGTCCTCCGCAGCTGGTGGGTCTCGTCGGCCAAGGAGCGGCACAGGACGTCGCTGGCGGCCCGGGCCCGCTCCTGCTCTGCCACCTGCCTGCGCAGCAGGGCCACCTCCCGCTCGCGAGCGTGGCCTGGCTGGCTCGCCCACTGCTGGGCTTCTCGCTCCTTCTCCTCCAGCTGCTCAGAGAGTCTCTCGATCTCCTGGTGGAGGATTTAGAAGCAGAGCTTACTTGATGAAAGGTGACGTCACAGGCAAATGCCATCCGCACAGGGCCCGCCCAGGACAACGGGCTCAGTCTGATGTGGGCGGCCGAGCCCCCGGGTCGCTGGAGCTGTCAGCCTCTGGCGGTCTACCTGAGGCCCCGTCCAAACTCCTGTTCTCACGGGCAGGTGCACAGTGGTAGGTTTTACATCGTCGAATGACGAAAAAGTGCGGTGTTTCCTGACACTTCTTGGTGGGAAGGGCAGGAACCCCGACGTGGTGGACAGCCCCCAAAAGATACGTCCACGGCCCAACTGGGCTACCTGGGGGGTTTGGCTGCCCCGGCAGTGGGGTCTTCACAGTGTGAGCAGCTAAGGTGAAGTCCTACTGGGCTCATCAAGTGACTAGTGTCCTTGTCAGAAGAGGGACACTTGGACACAGAGAAGGCCGCGTGGAGGCGGAGGTGGAGACGGGAGTGGCAGCTACAAGACACATGGCACCAAGACTGGCAGGGCCACCACGGCGTGGAGGAGGCCACAAAGGGCCCCCGCCCCACCCCTGGGGCCCGGAGCCCGGAGCCGGGCCCTGGGCTGGAGCCTGAGAAACGTCCTTTGTTTCCAGCCCTGAGTTGAGGGCACTTTGCCACGGCAGCCATGGGACACACAAACCCCAAACCCAAACGCACCCAGATCCCATCACTTCTTTAAAAAAAAAAAAAAAGAACTGTCCTTAAAGTTGTGATTTGCTTTGTGCGGGCCCTAGTTTTGTGCTTCCACATCTTCAGAGTAACCTCCAGCACTCACAGGGCCAGAGGGAGGTCCGTCCCACAGATGCGGACCAGCTGCTTTGGAAACGCCAGGGAGCAGCCTGGGCTTCCCGGGTGGGGGTGGGGGGCAGGCCGAGCGGGGGGAGGGCGTGTGGCCCTGCCGGGCAGGAGACACCGGGACCCCAGAACCCTCTCACTGCTTCCCAGCGGGGCGAGCTGCGAGGCCCTAATACTATAGCTGCTTTAAACAGAAACACGCATGGCCACGGAAGCGTCACACACACGCGGGGGAAATAAGATGAAAACGTGGATTCCTTGTTGCTGCCCCCCCACCCTCTGGGCACTCGTCCTTCCCGGGCGTTTGTAAGAACAACCTAGAGCACCACGTGGTCTCTCCCCAGACGGAGCCCGCAGCAACACCTCCTCGCGGCGCCTCCTCCGTCTGTGGGAAGGGCGGACGTGACCGATCCCACGGAAACGAGACAGGTCGGAGAGGAGCAGATGGACAGCCGCGCGCCAGCCAGCTGGGTGACCCAGATGGGACGGACAGGCTCTGAGAAACACAAGACCTGCCAGGGCTCGATCACAGCGAGAGAGGGAGAGGGAGAGGGAGAGAGAGAGAAAGAGAGAGGGGGAGAGAGAGAGAGAGAGAGAGAGAGAGAGAGGGGGAGAGAGAGAGAGAGGGAGAGGGAGAGGGAGAGGGAGAGGGACCTTTCGCTAACACGAAGGCTGAGTCGGTAACCGAAGGTCCTCAGGAAGACGAAACAGGAGCCCCGGAGCCGAGGGCTGCACGGGGGAGGTGCACCAAACACTTGGGGAAACACTGATACCAGGTCTTCTGGAGGCTTCCCAAAAACGGAAGAGAAGGGAGCACTTCCTGTTTGTACGATGCCGGAATTTCCCTCTGACCGAAGCAGGCGGACACCGCAGGGAGCCGAGCCGCAAACCGACAGCCCTCCTGGACACCGAGCGGGAGTTCTCAGCAAAATGCCGGCAGACCAACAAGCTCAGCGCCAGAGCGCAAGGAGCACCCCTCCAGCGTGACAAGCGGGATTTCCCCCAGAAAACAAGGACGGCTCCACGCGCGAACACTGACCCACGGGTCGACGGAGAACATTCCACAGTGTGAACGAGTGTCGAGGCGCCCTGTTGTGTGTCAGCGCTATCTAAGGGGGGGGGGGCAGTTGACACTACTGATAACACCGGGTTGCTCTGGAAGCGTGCTCGGTTCGCGCTCCCTCGGCATTCAGCGCCTTCCCCAGCACCTCCCTGCTCCCTCCCCCACCTGGATTCGGGGGGCGATCCCGCGTGCGGGCCTGATCCCCAGCTCCAAGGGCAAGAACTGGACCTGGAACTTCTCTGCATCGGCCCAGCGAGCGCCGAACGGAACGTGCCGTCAGCAGCTTCGCAAAGCGGCCAAGGCTGTCACAAGTCGCCCCGCCCCCGCACCCCGTCTGACCTTACAACCACTTCCTGGGTCACTGTCCACCTGCTCTCCAGTCCGGCTAGGCTGCCGCCGGCCCGGCCGGCTCTGACACCGCGCCGGTCCTCGGAGGTGGACGCACTGTGTGTACCCCGGGGCTGGGGGAGGCCAAAGGCACGGCCCGTGGTGTTCGGCGCGTCCCACGCCCACAGAGAGTTCCAGTGAACGAGGCTCCACGATCCCCCGAGTGCCAGGGGCCCGTGCCGGTCACATCCGGGCACCTGTGCGAGAGCTTGCGCTCTGTGCTTGACACCTGTGAACTCGCGTTCACCACGACGCACGCACGACAACGTGCTGCGCACGTCCGCCACAGCGTCCACGGAGGCACTAGACTAGCTCTGCACCGTCTATTTTCTCCGTGGGGACAGGCGCTTCGTAAAGAGAAATCCGCCTTTCCCGGTCCTTCCCGCATCCCCAGCGCCCACCGCAACATGCCGGAACGTTACTGTGCTCCGCGAAATAGGTTGGACAAAGAAAGACCCACGCCGTACGGTTTCACTAACACGGAGACGCTAAAGAACACAGTAAAAGCCCGCTGAAACAGACCGAACGGGCGGTAGCCCGGGGGGGGGAGGCGGGAGGATGAAGGAGGGGAGAGGGCACAACAGGCAGTGGTACCCTGCGGAGTCTGAGCAAGTGGGGTGGTGGCATCGTCAGACCTGAGTCTCTGGCCCTGTCGTGCCCGTGAAACCGAGATAATTTTCCACACCAACTAAAACAGCCGGCAAAGACCACATCCCTTGGCCCCACGACAGGCCTCGCGCCGCGCACACGCACCCCTGCGGGACCCGAGCGCGCCCACAGCCCCCACTCGAGCAGGCGCACCTGGCGCAGCGCCGCCTCCACGGCGCCACCCTCCCGCTGCTGCAGCTGCTCCCGGAAGCGCGCCACCTGCTCCAGCAGTGCGTCCACGAGCGACGGCGCCGCGTCGCCCTCGAGCGCGGCCAGGCGGGCGCGGAGGCGCTCTATGAGGGCGTCCCGGGCGGCCAGCTGGTCCTGCAGGCGCCTCAGCTGCTGCCCGGCCTCGTGGTACAGGCCGCAGAGAGTGGCGGCCGCTCGCGGGGCCCCCTTCTGCCCGCCGGGCCCCTCGTCCCCCGACGACATGCCTGCAGGCCTGGACCAGGGCGCGCGGCCGCCGGCCACTTCCGCGCCGGCTCTCCGCGAGCCCCCGCCTCCCCGGAACCTTAGCCTGCGAGCCCCGCCCCGCACGGAGAACCCCCACCCGCCCGCGGCGGAGTGCCGGCCACGCCCACCCCGAGCCCGGAGCCGCCCAACGCCCAGAGCCGGGTCACACCCTCCGCTGAGAGCCAGGCTCCGCCCCTTACTGTATCCTAGGCAGCGGCGTGTCCACCCGCACGGGTGCCTGGCTGGTCCCAGCGGCGCATCTGGGGCGTTTTCGGAGCGTCCGCGGGGCTGTGGAGAGGGGTTGAGCAGCCTCCGATGTAACTTCTGATAGGAGGGAAAGAGGGGGGGTCAAAGACGACCCCAAAGGTTGGACCCGAGCTCGGGGGCAAATCCCCCAGCTGCAGGCGGTTGGCCAAAGGTAGCGACCGAGAGGGAGAGGTTCCAAGAGCTGAGGCAGGAGGCGCTCTGCCCACCCGGGGCGCGTGGCGGTGCCCTATCCGCCCGCCCCTCTTAGGGTCACGGAGTAAAAGGCCGCAGAGAGCTGACCCTCTCCCACCCTCGCTTCTCCACGTCCCTTTCCTTCGCCAGACGCCCAGACCCACTTCAAGCCTTCCTCCCCGGCTGGGCGCCTGTCTCCCTGTTTGGAGCCCGAGCTCGCCCCGGCGATGCCCAGGAGCACGAGCGTCCTTCCCAGGTCTCCTCCCACCCCTGAGAGCAGCGTCGAGCTATCGGTGTCGGAGCCGAGCCCGGGCGGAGCCTCGCTGCTCAGACGAGGGTGTGGGCAAAGCCGCGGGTGCTCGCCGCTCTGCGCGGGGGAGGTCAGGGCCCGGCAGCGGAGTGGTGGAGGCTGGAGCGCGGGCGCGCAGAGCCTGGCCCGGGGTTGTGGTGGACACGTCCCGGCGGAGAAGATGCAACCGCGCCAGTTCCAGGGCTGGGAGAGCTGGCGTCCCCCTGGCTGCGGCTCCAGGTGAAACCTGGGGCAGGTCCCTGGGAGAGTCTCGAGGAACCTCACCGAGTGGGGCCGGGAGAGGGCGCTCGCGCTCGGCGCCACCCCAGGTCAATTCCGGGAACAGGTGTCCGTTGGACTTGAGCCCCGCCACCTTTTTGGCACATGCGATCGGTTTTGTGGAAGACGGGGTCCGGGGCGGACAGGAGGCGGAGCTCGCTCGGAGCTCAGGTGAGCTTCGCCCGCCCACCGCTGCAGGGGCTCAGGCTGGTCCACGGCGAGGGGAGGCTGGGGATCCCTGCGTTAGGCCCCAACGGGGCCATCCTCCTGGGTTGCGGCCGCAGCGGGAGAAGGTGGGTGGCGGGTCCTGCGGCAGCGTCTTTCCCTGCATTATAGCGCTCAGGAGAAAAGGGGCCTTTCCCCGCAGGGACCGCGGGAATGTGCACGTTCTCCCGAGTGTGTCTGTTTCCTCCCACGTGCCAACGATGTGCACGGATGTGCCTGTGAGGCGAATGGCGTGCCCACATTGTCCAGTGTGAGTGGGTGTGGGTGGCCCTGCAACGGATGGAAGGACGTCCCGCCCGAGTGGGTCCCGCCCTGCGCCCCAAGCTGCCGGGATGCACTGGCCACCTGGGACCCTGCCCTGAAGTCTGCAGATTGAAAAATAATGACCCCAGCCCCGGCCGGCGTAGCTCAGTGGATGGAGCGCGGGCTGCAAACCAAAGTGACGCAGGTTCGATTCCCAGTCAGGGCACATGCCTGGGTTGCAGGCCACGGCCCCCAGCAACCGCACAGTGATGTTTCTCTCTCTCTCTCTCTCCCCCTCCCTTCCCTCTCTAAAAATAAATAAATAAAATCTTAAAAAAAAATAATGTTCTTGTTTTCATTCATCTTTTTGTTTATTTTTTCTTTCTAAAGAGAGGGAGAGAAACATCAATGTATGGTTGTCCCTCACACACCCCCAAATGGGGACCTGGCCCACAACCCAGGCATGTGCCCTGACTGGGAATCGAACCAGAGACCCTTTGGTTCGCAGCCCGCGCTCAATCCACTGAGCCGCACCAGCCAGGGCGTATTCATCTTTTTAAATGTCTATACGGTTCACATTCATTTTAATACTTAATATTAGAAGTGTGTTTTTGGGACCAGAAATATTCTGTAGAAACGGATCCCTTGGTCACGTGCATTAGCCTGGGGTGAACCTGGTTGTGTTACAGGCCATGTGGCTAAGTCACAGTTTCCAAAAACCTACCGTGGGCTGTGAAACAAAGACAGCTAGGAATTCTGTCACTGAGCAGAGTTTGTTTAGGAGCAAGAAGGACTTTCGATCTGGCGCCTGCAGACACGGTGGGACAGAGGGAGGCAGGGGCCACCGGCCTCGTGTTTGGCTCCGGGGGTGCGGGCTAGCGAGACCCCTCCCGTGCGCCCCAGCTCCTCCCACGGGCCCTCGGTTGCTGTCCAGGTTAGGGACTCCGATGAGCTCTGCCACCATCCACGACATGAAGAATTTACTGCACACGGAGTGTCCTGGGAGGAAGAGCCGCCCACACTTGGCCGATACGAAGTAAAAGGTGCCAGGCACTGCCCTGAACTCAGCTTTCCTACAGAGGACTTTCCGTCCAAACAGCCCACTTCCGTTTTCTCCCTGAAAGAACGCTCCTCTCCGTCTCGCGCTTGCCCACCGCTCGCTGCTGCAGCGGTCGTGTCCCGAATTACAGTTCCTGACTCTTCCCGAGAAAACGGCCTTTGCTGGTGAAATAACGGTGCTGTTATTTTTAAGGTCAACACCGTGAACCTGGTTCTCAGCTGTAAACTGAGCATCCGAGCCTCTTGCTCAGCGCCAGGGCCACGCGTATTTGGAAGTGAGAGTCTCCGGGTTTGAGGTTGACACATACAGTTGGGGTGGCCAGCCTCCCGGAAAGGGCCCCTCTCCTGGATGTTCCTGCCGCGTTGCCAGGGGCCAACAGTGACACCAGGGGAGCACTGCGGGGGCCTCGGGACACTGCAGCTGGGCCACAAAAGATGGGTAGCTGCTGCCCAGCCCTGTCTGGGATCGCTCGACCTGGGGAAGCCATCTGCCACACCGAGAGCTCGCAGGGGGCCCTGTGGGGGGTGCGTGTGCGAGGAGCTGCAGCTCCCTGCCCACGTGAGTGGGCCGCCTGGGAACCGTGCCCCCCAGCTGCAGCCCAAGTCCTCGCTGTGGCCCCTGGGGACCGTGAGCCAGGACCACCCCGCTGGCAGCTTCTACCTCCCTGGGCTGCAGAAGCGGGGTGAGCTTTCAGGGGCTCACACTCGCGGTGGTTGCCCCACGGCGAGGGGAGGTGAGCACATGCCCCAAACCAGGTGTGTGAAAACTTCCACCGACACAGACGGACACAGGTGCCAAGGTGGCCGCAGGACGGACTGCGCTGGGTCAGCTCCCAGAAGACAGGTCCGGAGCCGCCCAGCCGACCCCTCCCAGGCCCAGCAGCTGACCTGAAGACAGGGAGGTCACCCCGGCCGGAGAATGGGCCCAGCGTAATCCCAAGGGCCCTTCACTGGGCAGCCCCGGGGCCCAGGCGGGCCTCCCCGTGCGGAGCCAGTCGCACTTCCCCGGGAGAGGCTCGGGAGCCGATGGCCACAGGGACGTGCAGAGGCGTGAGTGAGGTGCAGCCGGACGAGCTGAGCTGCTGGAAAGGTGGCAGAGACCCAGCTCTGAGCACAGCTGCAGCTGAGCCTCCGGTCCTTGCCCACCACCAGACCGCGCACTCTGGGCTTACTGCCTGGGCTGGGTCTCTGGGTTGGGGGACGCTGGCACAGCGGGTGGAGGGTCCATGATGAAGACAAGAGGGTCCAGAGCATCCGGTGCTGAGACCCCAGCCTTCCCTCAGTGCGCAGGACGCGGGCGCCAGGCCTCGCCCCTGGAGGCAGAACACCGAGGGGACTCCTCCGGGAGATCTGATCAGCCGGAGAACCCGGGGCCGCGTCCTGCTGGGCACCGCGTGGTCAGAGTCCCAGGCAGCAAGCCCCGCGCACGGGTGCCCCTCTCCCACCCGTGGGAGCCAGGCGACCAGACGTCCGAGGGGACCTGAGAGCACTGGGGACGAGGGAGAGCCCCGGCAGTGTCCAGGGAGAAACAGGAAGTGAACGCGAGTGGGTGGGACCCGAGTGGCTTCAGACTCCTCAGCGCTGGACGGTAACTCTCAACATTCCGAAACCAGCGCGTCCTGAGTGGGAATCTCACGCTCAGCCACATGGCTCCCAAGAGTAACTAACGGCAGAGGGGGGAGCGTGGAGATCTTGCTTCTCAGCACGTGTTTTAAGTTTGGCTCAAATAAACTGATTTTTAAAAAAGATTTTACTTATTTATTTTTTAGAGAGAGGGGAAAGGGAGGGAGAGAGAGAGGGAGAGAAACATCCGTGTGTGGTTGCCTCTTGTGCGCCCCCCACTGGGGACCCGGCCTGCAACCAGGCATGTGCCCTGACTGGGAATCGAACCAGCGACCTTATGGTTCTCAGGCCCAAGCTCAATCCACTGAGCCACACCAGCCGGGGCATAAACTCAGTTTTGTTTTGTTTTGTTTTTTTAATGGACGTCCCCACACCCTTCCTCAGCCCCACCCCATGGAGGGAGAAAACCAGGAGAGAGGAGGTCAGTGGTGGAATGCAGGACCCACAGAGGGTCCCGCCCCAGTTAGAGAGCAGAGTCTATTTTCTACTTTTTAAAATTTATTTATTTGAGAGAAGGAAAGAGAGAGAAACATCCATGTGTGGTTGCCTCTGGCCCGCCCCCTACTGGGGACCAGGCCCGCAACCCAGGCAAGTGCCCTGACGGGGAATGGAAGCGGGATCCTTGGGTACGCAGGCCGGCACTCGGTCTGCTGAGCCTCAGCAGCCGCCGGGCAAGAGCCGAGTCTGTGTTGAGCCGACAGCTGTCTCGGGCAAGGCCAGGCCCGCGGCAGACTCTGCAGGTGAACTAGAGATGAGAAACGCAGCAAAACAAAACAGAAGACCTGAACTCCAGAGGGAACAGGAAGTTGAGCAGGAAAGGAAAGTGACCTCTGGGATGCACTCTGGGGCTCAGGCACGCAGCGTGTTCCCCCACCCGCCGCCAGC